GAATAGATGGTATTGATTAATATTTATTTAGTTTCATTAGATGATCAATATAATTTTAGGATGTATATTGTTATTAAACCATTTTCTTTTGTTATGTAGAATCATAAGCACCAGGACTCAAATATATTTAAAATGATACCCTGGAGTTTCCAACATTTTAGGTTCCTAAAATCTTTTTGTTTATGACATAAAAACTGATTGTTGTTTTTATTATTCTACAATTTTGACTTCAGATTGTGCTGATTATAAAACAACTCGTTAACTCACAATTAAAAATTATTAATACCCTTCAGTGACAAATTCAACATTATAACTGCCAGGACCAGGTGAATTGCTTTTTTTTAATGGTTTGCTTCTTGCAACTTGTGTATTAAATGGAGCAGCATGAGCTCGAACTTCATATTTTTTATTTTCTATGTAACTTCCAGGACCTACATTAGATGGCAAAGCTCCAGATGCATTGTTAATATCTCTTTCTGCTTGATATACAAAAGCCATTTTTAGAATTTAATAATAATATTGCAAAATAATTAAAATTATCATCTTCTCTTTTCAGAACTTTAAAATAAACTCTCATTTAAAAACTCATTAATCAATTAATCCAAAGGGTATGAATAATACTTTATACATAAACTATTTATGACTGTTAAAATATTTCTTATATTTACTAAGTGACTTTCATAATATTATATTAAAAAATTTTATTTCTTTTACGTAATAGTTTCTTTTATTATTAACATATTAAATGAATACAGTTTTCTTTCAATATAAAAAAATTTACTTGCACTTTTTAGAATCAGTTTTGTTATAATTCAGGATGGAATACTAGGATTTTTATTTATAATTCAGTTGTTAATCTTTATTTTATTCATCAAATGCCTCTCTAAATTACAAATAGATTCTTTATTTTGTATTCAACATTGCTTCAGTATTTTATTTTCATTTTCTTGCTAATTTCAAAGCTTAACACTGATATTCAAGTTTTAGTATTGATATATTTATTCAGTCTCTCAACTAATAATTTACAGTAAACTGGGCTTAATTAAATAAGAATTAGCAAAATTTTTTTTTAGGCTCTTTTATTTAGATGAAATTTTTATCTTTTCCTCTTATTTTCTAAATTTATGATTTTGGGAAATATTTTGCTATTTTTTTCCATAATACCTTCATTTTTGTGAAAAATTTTTAATTTTTCAGAAGACTAAATTCTAATGAATCTTTCTTTCTTATACAATCTGCCATTATAGAGTTTCATGATTAAACATAAGAGTGATAGCTTAATAAAAGAATTTGGTAATTTGGCTTACTTAAAAATTTTATCTTGCAATAATTTGTAAATTAATAATATAATTTCAAAATTCGTTCGAATTTCTTTTTCCAATAACTCGTCTCAAAATGGTTTAATTTTAGGATGTTTTTGGACTAAACTATATTTCAATATCTTGTGGATCAACTTCTCCATTTGATTCTTGCTCTTGTTAGATTTGGTTTTTGAATCTGCTAAATTTAGACGATATTAGCTTTTTAGCTCTATCATTTACATCAATTTCTTTAGATGCTTTTGTTTATTACATCAAAAGCCAGGAAACTTCAAAAATATTTTAGATTTAAGGGCCTAATTTTCTAATTAATTGATTGTTTAAATAAGCATCTTCATGCTAGTTTTCAATTAAAGTCATCAGTTTTTAATATGCCTATTTGTTTAAAATTACATACTTTAAATAGCTTGGAATATAAATATTATGGAGTATCTTGATCGATAAAGTCATCTTTGTTTTCAATTACATGTTTACTTACTTAGTCTAATTAGATCTTCATAGAAGATTCCACCTTATTGAAAGATCTACAACTTATTTGATTAATTACCTAGAATGTTTTGAGGATTTGATTGTTTATGCTCGCTATCTCGAAGGTAAAGATTTCGATTCTTATAAAGTAATCAACGGTTTAGGAGTAAAATTAAATATAATTTATTAAGGTTTTTTTAATAGCAATTCTTTTAATTTATCTATCTCATGCAATTTATCCAAAATTCCAAATACGTCCAATTCTGCATTGATTTAATTTCTAAATAAATAAATTATTTACACTGCTTTGTTTAATAATAAAACTTAAGGATTTTTCATCATTCTTTCACAAAATACTTTTTAAATGAAAAATTTANGAATAGATGGTATTGATTAATATTTATTTAGTTTCATTAGATGATCAATATAATTTTAGGATGTATATTGTTATTAAACCATTTTCTTTTGTTATGTAGAATCATAAGCACCAGGACTCAAATATATTTAAAATGATACCCTGGAGTTTCCAACATTTTAGGTTCCTAAAATCTTTTTGTTTATGACATAAAAACTGATTGTTGTTTTTATTATTCTACAATTTTGACTTCAGATTGTGCTGATTATAAAACAACTCGTTAACTCACAATTAAAAATTATTAATACCCTTCAGTGACAAATTCAACATTATAACTGCCAGGACCAGGTGAATTGCTTTTTTTTAATGGTTTGCTTCTTGCAACTTGTGTATTAAATGGAGCAGCATGAGCTCGAACTTCATATTTTTTATTTTCTATGTAACTTCCAGGACCTACATTAGATGGCAAAGCTCCAGATGCATTGTTAATATCTCTTTCTGCTTGATATACAAAAGCCATTTTTAGAATTTAATAATAATATTGCAAAATAATTAAAATTATCATCTTCTCTTTTCAGAACTTTAAAATAAACTCTCATTTAAAAACTCATTAATCAATTAATCCAAAGGGTATGAATAATACTTTATACATAAACTATTTATGACTGTTAAAATATTTCTTATATTTACTAAGTGACTTTCATAATATTATATTAAAAAATTTTATTTCTTTTACGTAATAGTTTCTTTTATTATTAACATATTAAATGAATACAGTTTTCTTTCAATATAAAAAAATTTACTTGCACTTTTTAGAATCAGTTTTGTTATAATTCAGGATGGAATACTAGGATTTTTATTTATAATTCAGTTGTTAATCTTTATTTTATTCATCAAATGCCTCTCTAAATTACAAATAGATTCTTTATTTTGTATTCAACATTGCTTCAGTATTTTATTTTCATTTTCTTGCTAATTTCAAAGCTTAACACTGATATTCAAGTTTTAGTATTGATATATTTATTCAGTCTCTCAACTAATAATTTACAGTAAACTGGGCTTAATTAAATAAGAATTAGCAAAATTTTTTTTTAGGCTCTTTTATTTAGATGAAATTTTTATCTTTTCCTCTTATTTTCTAAATTTATGATTTTGGGAAATATTTTGCTATTTTTTTCCATAATACCTTCATTTTTGTGAAAAATTTTTAATTTTTCAGAAGACTAAATTCTAATGAATCTTTCTTTCTTATACAATCTGCCATTATAGAGTTTCATGATTAAACATAAGAGTGATAGCTTAATAAAAGAATTTGGTAATTTGGCTTACTTAAAAATTTTATCTTGCAATAATTTGTAAATTAATAATATAATTTCAAAATTCGTTCGAATTTCTTTTTCCAATAACTCGTCTCAAAATGGTTTAATTTTAGGATGTTTTTGGACTAAACTATATTTCAATATCTTGTGGATCAACTTCTCCATTTGATTCTTGCTCTTGTTAGATTTGGTTTTTGAATCTGCTAAATTTAGACGATATTAGCTTTTTAGCTCTATCATTTACATCAATTTCTTTAGATGCTTTTGTTTATTACATCAAAAGCCAGGAAACTTCAAAAATATTTTAGATTTAAGGGCCTAATTTTCTAATTAATTGATTGTTTAAATAAGCATCTTCATGCTAGTTTTCAATTAAAGTCATCAGTTTTTAATATGCCTATTTGTTTAAAATTACATACTTTAAATAGCTTGGAATATAAATATTATGGAGTATCTTGATCGATAAAGTCATCTTTGTTTTCAATTACATGTTTACTTACTTAGTCTAATTAGATCTTCATAGAAGATTCCACCTTATTGAAAGATCTACAACTTATTTGATTAATTACCTAGAATGTTTTGAGGATTTGATTGTTTATGCTCGCTATCTCGAAGGTAAAGATTTCGATTCTTATAAAGTAATCAACGGTTTAGGAGTAAAATTAAATATAATTTATTAAGGTTTTTTTAATAGCAATTCTTTTAATTTATCTATCTCATGCAATTTATCCAAAATTCCAAATACGTCCAATTCTGCATTGATTTAATTTCTAAATAAATAAATTATTTACACTGCTTTGTTTAATAATAAAACTTAAGGATTTTTCATCATTCTTTCACAAAATACTTTTTAAATGAAAAATTTAAAGGTAAAATCTAATTTTTTTGTTTTCGAAAATAATTTTTAAATTTATTCAAGAAAATATTATCTTCCATTTTTGCTACCCATTTTTTCAAGTGAAGTTTAATGTTTTTCTATTAATTTTTAATTATTAATAGATAATTAGGATAAAGGGGTAATTTCTTGAACTGAATTTAATTATTTTAATGATACTCCTTTTGAAGGATTCTTTATGGATTTTTAAGATTTATTCATATTTACTTAATCTTTATCAAATCTCACACTTTGCTAAGCAGGTCCTAAACTTATCATTGACTATTATTGATTCGAGTCTTAAGCTTAGAAATCGAAATCATCAGCATTAGCTACCAATTCATTTCTATTTAGTTTTTATGCTTAATTATCTTCAATATCAAAATCAAATAGTTCATTTGATAAATCAACTAGTTCTAAATTATTTTATGATATAAATTACAAGATTATTTATTATAAACTTGAATAAAGAATCCAAAGAATACTATCATAATTTATAAAAATCCTCCCAAATAAGACATTAAATCGTCTACTTTTTAATAATTTCTATAAACGTTTTCAGTGTAAGTACTCCTTCTCATATAAAACTATGCATATGTGCTATCAACAGCAGTTCCTAAAAGTGTTAAATCTCTATAATCTGTTGCTGATCGTACGTAATGTGTTTCATTTACCATAACTTAAAAAGGTGTCAAACTATCATCTGTTTAAAAATTATATTTTCTCCAAAATATATTTGCTTATCTCGAAAGTTATTTTGGTGTCTAAAAGATATTCTAAAATATATACAAAAGTAAAATATAATTCGTCATCCAGAAATGCAGAAGTAAAATCTTATGGATTTGTTGGGTTCATAACTAAATTTGTCATGTAAAGCGAGACTTTAAATGCTGAATTTTTCAATAGATAATTTGATATAGCTTCTTTAGATTAGCAAACAGGCTTCCATGTTAATCGAGAATTTTCAATTGTCTTATTACTACAATCCGACACTGTTATTTTTATATAGTCAAATTCATGACTGGCATACCTTCCTCCTAGCTTTAAAGAATAATTATAATCTGGACATAAGAAATTTTTAAGTCCAACTTAGTCGAATTGGGTCTTGAAATCAACATTGTATTTTGTAAATATTTTTTGGAATCTATCGAGTGTACAAGGTATAAGATTAACCTCTTAATTTATTTTAACTACTGTTCCATTATCTAATCTAGTAGCATTCCTATTTTAATTAGCATTATTACTATTGGAGCACTGAAATGTTAAAATAAGGATTGGTTGTAAAATTTGCTTGTTCAATTTGAAAAGCAATCATAAAATTTTCATCATTAAGTTCAATTAAGTCTGGATCTTCATCAAAATTTGTGGTTAAAGCAACAGATATATGAGTTTTTGCAAAGAAAGTAATAACATTTGATTGAAAAAAGACAACCAAAACTACAATTATTACTATACTTGCAAACCCTCCAAATCCTGTCTTATAAGTATCTTCTTTTTTATAATTAAAATTAACTCCTTAACCAAAAATATCACACTTTTTGAGAACTATGATATCATAAGTAAAAATATACATTCTTAGACAACTTACATAAAATTAAAAAAATTAAATAATCAATAAATAAATTAAGTTTTATTCATTAAATATAGATGTAGCATATAAAACTAATTGGACTCACACTTGAGTTTTGAACAATTGAATAAAACAAAATTATGAGAAAAAATTAAAATTAAAAATAAAAATTATTCTAGAAAATGGATACAGATTTTCAATAAATATTAATAAATATCGAAAAAGTTAATTATTAATTATTGAATTTTTTTTTTTATTAATATTACTTTTATTCCCCTTAATAACTGATTTGGTGTTAGAATAGATGGTATTGATTAATATTTATTTAGTTTCATTAGATGATCAATATAATTTTAGGATGTATATTGTTATTAAACCATTTTCTTTTGTTATGTAGAATCATAAGCACCAGGACTCAAATATATTTAAAATGATACCCTGGAGTTTCTAACATTTTAGGTTCCTAAAATCTTTTTGTTTATGACATAAAAACTGATTGTTGTTTTTATTATTCTACAATTTTGACTTCAGATTGTGCTGATTATAAAACAACTCGTTAACTCACAATTAAAAATTATTAATACCCTTCAGTGACAAATTCAACATTATAACTGCCAGGACCAGGTGAATTGCTTTTTTTTAATGGTTTGCTTCTTGCAACTTGTGTATTAAATGGAGCAGCATGAGCTCGAACTTCATATTTTTTATTTTCTATGTAACTTCCAGGACCTACATTAGATGGCAAAGCTCCAGATGCATTGTTAATATCTCTTTCTGCTTGATATACAAAAGCCATTTTTAGAATTTAATAATAATATTGCAAAATAATTAAAATTATCATCTTCTCTTTTCAGAACTTTAAAATAAACTCTCATTTAAAAACTCATTAATCAATTAATCCAAAGGGTATGAATAATACTTTATACATAAACTATTTATGACTGTTAAAATATTTCTTATATTTACTAAGTGACTTTCATAATATTATATTAAAAAATTTTATTTCTTTTACGTAATAGTTTCTTTTATTATTAACATATTAAATGAATACAGTTTTCTTTCAATATAAAAAAATTTACTTGCACTTTTTAGAATCAGTTTTGTTATAATTCAGGATGGAATACTAGGATTTTTATTTATAATTCAGTTGTTAATCTTTATTTTATTCATCAAATGCCTCTCTAAATTACAAATAGATTCTTTATTTTGTATTCAACATTGCTTCAGTATTTTATTTTCATTTTCTTGCTAATTTCAAAGCTTAACACTGATATTCAAGTTTTAGTATTGATATATTTATTCAGTCTCTCAACTAATAATTTACAGTAAACTGGGCTTAATTAAATAAGAATTAGCAAAATTTTTTTTTAGGCTCTTTTATTTAGATGAAATTTTTATCTTTTCCTCTTATTTTCTAAATTTATGATTTTGGGAAATATTTTGCTATTTTTTTCCATAATACCTTCATTTTTGTGAAAAATTTTTAATTTTTCAGAAGACTAAATTCTAATGAATCTTTCTTTCTTATACAATCTGCCATTATAGAGTTTCATGATTAAACATAAGAGTGATAGCTTAATAAAAGAATTTGGTAATTTGGCTTACTTAAAAATTTTATCTTGCAATAATTTGTAAATTAATAATATAATTTCAAAATTCGTTCGAATTTCTTTTTCCAATAACTCGTCTCAAAATGGTTTAATTTTAGGATGTTTTTGGACTAAACTATATTTCAATATCTTGTGGATCAACTTCTCCATTTGATTCTTGCTCTTGTTAGATTTGGTTTTTGAATCTGCTAAATTTAGACGATATTAGCTTTTTAGCTCTATCATTTACATCAATTTCTTTAGATGCTTTTGTTTATTACATCAAAAGCCAGGAAACTTCAAAAATATTTTAGATTTAAGGGCCTAATTTTCTAATTAATTGATTGTTTAAATAAGCATCTTCATGCTAGTTTTCAATTAAAGTCATCAGTTTTTAATATGCCTATTTGTTTAAAATTACATACTTTAAATAGCTTGGAATATAAATATTATGGAGTATCTTGATCGATAAAGTCATCTTTGTTTTCAATTACATGTTTACTTACTTAGTCTAATTAGATCTTCATAGAAGATTCCACCTTATTGAAAGATCTACAACTTATTTGATTAATTACCTAGAATGTTTTGAGGATTTGATTGTTTATGCTCGCTATCTCGAAGGTAAAGATTTCGATTCTTATANGAATAGATGGTATTGATTAATATTTATTTAGTTTCATTAGATGATCAATATAATTTTAGGATGTATATTGTTATTAAACCATTTTCTTTTGTTATGTAGAATCATAAGCACCAGGACTCAAATATATTTAAAATGATACCCTGGAGTTTCCAACATTTTAGGTTCCTAAAATCTTTTTGTTTATGACATAAAAACTGATTGTTGTTTTTATTATTCTACAATTTTGACTTCAGATTGTGCTGATTATAAAACAACTCGTTAACTCACAATTAAAAATTATTAATACCCTTCAGTGACAAATTCAACATTATAACTGCCAGGACCAGGTGAATTGCTTTTTTTTAATGGTTTGCTTCTTGCAACTTGTGTATTAAATGGAGCAGCATGAGCTCGAACTTCATATTTTTTATTTTCTATGTAACTTCCAGGACCTACATTAGATGGCAAAGCTCCAGATGCATTGTTAATATCTCTTTCTGCTTGATATACAAAAGCCATTTTTAGAATTTAATAATAATATTGCAAAATAATTAAAATTATCATCTTCTCTTTTCAGAACTTTAAAATAAACTCTCATTTAAAAACTCATTAATCAATTAATCCAAAGGGTATGAATAATACTTTATACATAAACTATTTATGACTGTTAAAATATTTCTTATCATTATACATAAACGACATTTTTATCTTTTTACATATTGTTACTGAATTTATTATTTTAACAAATATTTTGCTATTTTTCCATTATTTCTCTTAACGAAAAATTCTTTATAATAGAGGAGAAAAAAGTCATCCTTTATAAATAAATGAGTTTTAAAGAACTTAAAATTAAATAACTCAAAAGCTTCGAATAAATTTCGAGAATACAAAACTTCTTTTATTTCTTTTTTTAACTTTCTCCTTAAAAATTAGGATAGTTATATAATGCGAATAATTATCATTTATAAACTACCCTGCAACTTAATCATATTAATTATATTGAACAAAAATTAACTTCTATCTTTTCTTAAATAATTCAAAGTACAGAATATAATCTTTTTTTCTTAAATAATCAGTTATTATATACTATCATGATTAAACATAAGGAGACAATTTAATAAAAGAATTATTTATTTGCCAGACTTAAAAATTTTATATTGCAATTATTTTTAAGTTGATAATATAATTTCAAAATTCTTTTTGAATTTCTTTTTCCAATAACAGATCTCAAGATGATTTAATTTTAGGATGTTTTAGGACTAAATTATAAATATCTATAGGAATAATTTCTTCATTTGATTCTTGCTCTTGTTGGATTTGGTTTTTGGATCTGTTAAATTTAAATGATACTTACTTTTTAGTTTCATCATTTACATCAATTTCTTTAGATGTTTTTGTTTATTACATCAAATACCAGGAAACTTCAAAAATATTTTAGATCTAAGGGCCTAATTTTTTAATTAATTGATTGTTTAAATAAGCATCTTCATGCTAATTTTCAATTAAAATCATCAATTTTTAATATGCCTATTTGTTTAAAATTACATACTTTAAATAGCTTGGAATATAAATATTATGGTGATTCTGGATCAACAAANTTATAATTCAGGATGGAATACTAGGATTTTTATTTATAATTCAGTTGTTAATCTTTATTTTATTCATCAAATGCCTCTCTAAATTACAAATAGATTCTTTATTTTGTATTCAACATTGCTTCAGTATTTTATTTTCATTTTCTTGCTAATTTCAAAGCTTAACACTGATATTCAAGTTTTAGTATTGATATATTTATTCAGTCTCTCAACTAATAATTTACAGTAAACTGGGCTTAATTAAATAAGAATTAGCAAAATTTTTTTTTAGGCTCTTTTATTTAGATGAAATTTTTATCTTTTCCTCTTATTTTCTAAATTTATGATTTTGGGAAATATTTTGCTATTTTTTTCCATAATACCTTCATTTTTGTGAAAAATTTTTAATTTTTCAGAAGACTAAATTCTAATGAATCTTTCTTTCTTATACAATCTGCCATTATAGAGTTTCATGATTAAACATAAGAGTGATAGCTTAATAAAAGAATTTGGTAATTTGGCTTACTTAAAAATTTTATCTTGCAATAATTTGTAAATTAATAATATAATTTCAAAATTCGTTCGAATTTCTTTTTCCAATAACTCGTCTCAAAATGGTTTAATTTTAGGATGTTTTTGGACTAAACTATATTTCAATATCTTGTGGATCAACTTCTCCATTTGATTCTTGCTCTTGTTAGATTTGGTTTTTGAATCTGCTAAATTTAGACGATATTAGCTTTTTAGCTCTATCATTTACATCAATTTCTTTAGATGCTTTTGTTTATTACATCAAAAGCCAGGAAACTTCAAAAATATTTTAGATTTAAGGGCCTAATTTTCTAATTAATTGATTGTTTAAATAAGCATCTTCATGCTAGTTTTCAATTAAAGTCATCAGTTTTTAATATGCCTATTTGTTTAAAATTACATACTTTAAATAGCTTGGAATATAAATATTATGGAGTATCTTGATCGATAAAGTCATCTTTGTTTTCAATTACATGTTTACTTACTTAGTCTAATTAGATCTTCATAGAAGATTCCACCTTATTGAAAGATCTACAACTTATTTGATTAATTACCTAGAATGTTTTGAGGATTTGATTGTTTATGCTCGCTATCTCGAAGGTAAAGATTTCGATTCTTATAAAGTAATCAACGGTTTAGGAGTAAAATTAAATATAATTTATTAAGGTTTTTTTAATAGCAATTCTTTTAATTTATCTATCTCATGCAATTTATCCAAAATTCCAAATACGTCCAATTCTGCATTGATTTAATTTCTAAATAAATAAATTATTTACACTGCTTTGTTTAATAATAAAACTTAAGGATTTTTCATCATTCTTTCACAAAATACTTTTTAAATGAAAAATTTAAATGTAAAATCTAATTTTTTTGTTTTCGAAAATAATTTTTAGATTTATTCAAGAAAATATTATCTTCCATTATTATTAACCATTTTTTCAGGTGATGGTTAATTTTTTTCTATTGATTTTTAATTATTAATAAATAATTAAGATAAAGGGGTAATTTCTTGAACTGAATTTAATTATCCTAATGATATTCCTTTTGAAGTATTCTTCATGGATTTTTAAGATTTATTCATAATTACTTAATCTTTATCAAATCTAGCACTAGGCTACGCAGTTCCTAAATATATCATTGATTATTATTGATTCATTTCTAAACCTTAAATGGAGGACTCGTTAGCATTAGCTACCAATTCATTTCTATTTAGTTTTTATGCTTAATTATCTTCAATATCAAAATCAAATAGTTCATTTGATAAATCAACTAGTTCTAAATTATTTTATGATATAAATTACAAGATTATTTATTATAAACTTGAATAAAGAATCCAAAGAATACTATCATAATTTATAAAAATCCTCCCAAATAAGACATTAAATCGTCTACTTTTTAATAATTTCTATAAACGTTTTCAGTGTAAGTACTCCTTCTCATAAAGAACTATGCATATGTGCTATCAACAGCAGTTCCTAAAAGTGTTAAATCTCTATAATCTGTTGCTGATCGTACGTAATGTGTTTCATTTACCATAACTTAAAAAGGTGTCAAACTATCATCTGTTTAAAAATTATATTTTCTCCAAAATATATTTGCTTATCCCGAAAGTTATTTTGGTGTCTAAAAGATATTCTAAAATATATACAAAAGTAAAATATAATTCGTCATCCAGAAATGCAGAAGTAAAATCTTATGGATTTGTTGGGTTCATAACTAAATTTGTCATGTAAAGCGAGACTTTAAATGCTGGATTTTTAGATAGATAATTTTAAATAGCTTCTTTAGATTAGCAAACAGGCTTCCATGTTAATCGAGAATTTTCAATTGTCTTATTACTACAATCCGACACTGTTATTTTTACATAATTAAATTCATGACTGGTATACCTTCCGCCTAGCTTTAAAGAATAATTATAATCTGGACATAAGAAATTTTTAAGTCCTATTTAGTCGAATTGGGTCTTGAAATCAACATTATATTTTGTAAATATTTTTTGAAATCTATCTAGTGTACAAGGGATAAGATTAACCTCTTAAATTATTTTAACTACTGTTCCATTATCTAATCTAGTAGCATTCCTATTTTAATTAGTTTTCTTAATTTTTACTATTAGAGCACTGAAATGTTAAAATAAGGATTGGTTGTAAAATTTGCTTGTTCAATTTGAAAAGCAATCATAAAATTTTCCTCATTCAGTTCAATAAGGTCTGGATCTTCTTAGAAGTTTATGTTTAAATCAACAGATATATGGGTTTTTGCAAAGAAAGTAATAACATTTGATTGGAAAAAGCCAACCAAAACTACAATTATTACTATACTTGCAAACCCTCCAAATCCTGTTTTATAAGTATCTTCTTTTTTATAATTAAAATTAACTCCTTAACCAAAAATATCACACTTTTTGAGAACTATGATATTATTAGAAATAATATACATTCGTAGACAACTTTTTACATTAAATTAAAAATTTTAAATATTCTATAAATAAATTAAGTTTTATTCAAATTTAAATATAGCATATAAACCTATACCTTAATAACTGATTTATAATGATACTTAGTCGGCACTAATATTTAGAATTATATTTTGAAAATTTTGCCAGACTTAGTATTAACTAAATTAAATTAATACTGTTATTTTGAATTATTGTTTCAAATACTTTTGGAATAAATTTATTATCAAGTAATCCAATTTAGAATATATTTATATATTTTTAAATTAAACAATAGAAGAGAAACTTTTATATATAAAAAATTTATATAAAAATTGTAATAGATCAAATTTAAAATTATCTCAGAAAAATTTAGACCTTTCATAATTTTTAAATTTCAGAATTTATTTGTTAGAGGCTATTGATCTAAGCATATATAATTATAAATCAATAAGGATTTTCTGAAGTTAAAAAGTTATGAAAAATAAAATTTTTAAATTGAAATGTAAATTATTATGAAGAAAAAGTAGTTGATTCTTGTAATTATAAATGCTAAAGGAATAGTTAAATTTATATATATTATTTATTGTCATAATTAAAATTAAAATAAAACATTAAAAATTATGAAATTCACTTAACTTCTTAGATGGACTGCAACAGATGGCAAAAATTTATTAATGAGATTGTTTTATTTCACATACATACCAATTATTTTGATTTTAGGTAATCAATATCAAATAATTTATTAGGTTATAAATCAATGAACATTTAGGCATTATTCCCTCAATTAGCATCTAAATGATGATTGGATATTTGATATTAATTATCTATAAGCAAATTAAAAATATCTACATGATTTTTACGAAAATTCGAACTATTGTAAAATTTTTTTAAATAATCTGAGCGTAAATATTTTTGCTAGAAGAGATTAATAATATAAATTCTTTTTTTTTATTATAATATAGCAATAATTATTTCAACAAAATTTAATAAAATATGGGTGATGACTATGGTTTTGATAAAGTGAGATTCACAAATTACAAAGAGGACATTTTTGATTGTCCAATTTGTTCATGTGTTGCTAGACTTCCAAAAGATTGTAGTTGTTGCGGAACAGTATTTTGTGGTCCTTGTGTAGATTCATGGTTAAAAAAATAATCGTAATGCAATAACTAAATTATTTAGCGAATGTATTAATAGGTGTCCGAAAAATTCAACTATCTAAAATATTTAAAAATCTCTTAAAAAAATATATGATGATCTTGAAATTAGATGTAATCTTTAAATTAGAAAATTAGGTTCTTATTGTCCAAAATCATTTAAAATTGCAGAGATTGAAAAACATGAAATAAATTGCAAATTACCGAAATGTGTAAATTATGAGGTTTGTGGGAATATAGTAGGGTCAACATATGAATTTGAAAACTTTAAAGTAATATGTAGTCAATATATTTAGGTTTGTGATCATACATGTATGTTAATGAGTAAGATTAAATAAACTAAGAATAAATTAGATCTTTATGCTTGCTTAAAATAATATGTAAAAGATAGATAAATAGGTTAATAAGTTTAAAGTAAACTAATAATATTATACTTTAGCTAATCAATTAGGTTTAAATTCAGATTAAGTAAATCCAAATATTCCTGTTTTTAAATGGGATAGATAAAGAATGGGAACTGGAATAGTCTCTTCAGATGGAGACACAAGAATATTTTTAAAAGAATAAGCCTACATGTTTAGAACCGCAGTCGCTACTTATGGCTTTGAAAAGGGTATTGGATATTGGGAAATTGAAGCAGATGATAAAACAGAAAATGAATTAAAGATTGGAGTGTCTACTTGCAGAGATTTTAATTATAATACTGCATTTTGTGACTTTGAATTTGGATGGGCTTATTATGGATTAGCATAAGTATAATCTATAATTTAGGAATTAATAGTTACGTCATAATAGTAATGCTACTGGACCATCTTTTGGTAAGAGATTTAAGAAAGAAGGAATTTTAGGAGTATGTTTAAATATGAATACTGGAACTTTAAAATTTAGTTTAAATGGAGAATTAATGGGAACAGCATACACTGATGAAAAATTAAAATAAGGTCCAATATATCCAGCTGTATCATTACTTCACTGCGCAGGATGTAAAATAATAACTGGTAAACCTATTCCAGCAATATTTTTGAATTGATTTATTAAAAATATGTTTAACTTCATTAACTTTATTATTCAAACATTTTAACACATAGATCTTCCTCATCCTCTTGCCTAGCTCCTCTTCTAGTTGGATTGCGTTGTTTATTATAAATTTTGTGTTAGATATCAATTATTTTAGACAACTTGAATACGATTTATAATTCAGGTCCTAATTTTTATATAAGGGCTTTATTTGCATATACTGTATCAATCTATTGAAGAATGTCATCATAAGCCTAAACTAAAATTTTATTTTACATTAAAAATTTTAGAATATATTAAATAATCTCCTTATAAGCTAGGTTACATGAAATTGTCACTATAACTTTTAATATAAAGATACTTTTCTATTATTCCTGGCCCTTTAACTATTTCTTCAATTAACTGCCTTGAAGGTTGTGCTGCATTGTTTTCTATACTTATTTATGGCTTAGGAGTAAAATTAAACATTAGGAGCTATTTATAATTTAAAACTATTTCCTTTAGTTTGTCTAGTTCATTTAATTTTAAGAGAATATGATGAACATCCAATTAAACTTAAATGTTTTCACTTAAAATTATATTTTAGAAATACAAAGCTTTATTCATAAGTATAACTCTAGGATTATTCTTAAATAATCTTCCACAACTGATATAATTACAAAATATTAAAAAATCTAAATGGATAGGTTTCTGTCTTTCGATAATTTTAATTATTTGTTTTTAAAAATAATCTAAACCACTTATTAATTTTAATTTTTCAGCCATCTTATATTATTACCTTTTTGTTTCTTTACATGTTTTTGAATAATTTGTATTTTTTGTTTAAGTTCCACCAGTATTTACAAATAGATTTAATAGATTATACCTTTAAGAAATATTAGGCGATAATTTATCTTCCATTTATTAGTTTTCTAATTCATCTATATTCTCATTAGAATTCCCATGAATATGATCTTCTCTATGTTAAATAAATTCATCAATTAATTCTAAATTTTCTTAATGTTATCTATTTTACAGTGTTGAATCTATTTAAAACTCAAACAATTTATTCGCTAACTCTATCAGAACTTTTTTTTATATATTTAATTACATTAGATCCTGTTGTATAGGCCTATTATTAAACCAATAAAAAAGAAAAAAGCTTATTGGATACCCCCCAGATTTGAGAGTAATTCGTCAATTTTTTGATAATTTCGAACAAACTTTGTTTTAAATGGATTAAGTTAAAAATTGAATGTAGCGAATAACTAATCAGTTGAAGTTCCAATATCTGACATTTCTTTAATATCAGTTAGGTCTATTTGAAAGACAGTATCTTCTTCAATGTCACTAAGACAATTAATATAATTTCACTTAAATGGCATAAGACTCTAATCATTTAGAAATTCATATTTCTTGAAATAAATGTTAGCTTTTCTATTTATTTAATTTGGAACAAATGTAAAATAAATTTAATCATCTAAAAATACAGATCTATATTCTTATTTATATGGATTAATGATCTAAAATAATAATAATCAATTACTTGATTAATCGTATAAATTGAGATTTTAAAAGATCCCATGCTTTTTAAATATTCATCTATTTTTTGTTGTGATGCACAATTTATTTTTTCATTATTTTCACATTTACTTATTTACAATGTTAAAAACTAAAAATCACTACCTAAATTAAAATAAAAATAAACTTGTGTAAGTTCCTCCCATAAAGAAAGAGGAGTTTTATCTACTTTATGAATATATTTATACTATGGACAAAGAAAATCATCTAATCCAAGAGAATTGAATTGTTCTTTAAAGTCTATTTGATATTTTGAGAAAGTATTCTAAAACCTATCTAAAGTACAAGGAATCAATGGAAAATTGATAGAGTTCTTGATTTATGATCCATTTTGATTTCTTCGATATTGCCTTAAATAATGAAAAAAAACTACTTTTATTCTAGTGTTAAATTGAAATAAGGTGACATAGTAAAGTTATGTTACTCTATCTTAAATGCAATCATGAATTCAGAATCATCAATTTTTATTTGTTGAATTTAGTCTTCATACTAATTTGATGAAACAACTTTCAAGTATTCTTTTAAAAAAAAGGATGAAAGACTTTAAGAGTAAAAATAAATCATAATAAAAAGCACAGCAATAGAGAAACCTCCACCAATTTTAGTACGATAATAAGCTTATTTATTCATACGTAGAAACACTATTTAACCAAAAACATCCACTCTCTAGAGGCCTGAGTAATTGAATAAATTATACCCCACTTTAAAGTTTGCATTAATTATATTTTAAATAAAAAGATCAATCATTTACTTAACAATTCTTCTGGTAAATTTTATGTATTTCGACAGAATACATCATTATTCGAATTTGCACGAAGTCTCCTTAATCCATCAAAATCAAGTAATTTAGATAATTTAAAAATTGCTTGTATTTCATCTCCAAGTTTTTTTATTAGTTTTTTATTGATATCATGTTAAGGGTTCTATTCTGAACTCTATTGAAGAATTGTGTCATAAGCCTAAAATTAGGATGATCTTACTCTGTAAATTCTATTATAAATTCTCATATCTCTATCTAAACTAACTGTTCGCTTAAATTACTTATAAATCTTTTTTGGTTTTAATTTCTTATTTTTTTCATCACATAATGTCTCATTTCTATTTATAAATAAAATTTACATAGTATTTCTAGCTCTTTCCTCTAAAATAGTTCTATTGAATGGCATTTCTTTTTCTTCTTCCATAGATATTATAGGTTTTGATGTAAAATTGAATAATAATTGTTATGAATTAGTTAGTAATATTTCTTTCATTTTATCAATTTCATTTATTTTAATCATTATATTGAATACATCTAATTACTCATTTATTTTATCACTTAAATTTATATAAGATAAAATACAGTGCAGAATTATAAAATTAAACTGATTGAGAATTTTTAAAGACTTTTTTAAAACACAACTAATTAAGAAATATTTAAATATTAAACTTTAATGGTTACGATCTATTTAAAATTAAATTAATCTATTTTTTGAAATAATCTAGACCACTTACACATTTTAATTTTTGAGCCAAAACTCCATGATCCCTTATAGCCTGTTATGTAAACTAATTACTCTTTTCATCATGTTCATAAGAAAATTAATTGATACATTCATTATTATTTTCAGTAGTTGGTCGATCAGTTAAAATAATATGTTATTCAGGTTATCCTTTGCCAAAAAGCCTAAATATTTTACTTTTATGTTTGATTTAACTATTTGGTATAAGTTATTATTATCCTTCTTTATTTATATAGTATTCATGCCTAAATTGGCGATCCTCGTAGACATTATTAATTAATTCAAGATTTAATTAATGCTATTTATTTTATTCATCCACATCTAAAATAAATTCATATATTTTATTCGACAGCTCTACCATCACTAAATTTACACTTAATAAAATACTTGTTTATTTGTTATAAGCTGCTATTATGAATCCCATAACAATAAGAGATATTTATAGCAATCCTCCTAATTTAGACAATAAATCTGACACACTTTGATTATTTCTTTCTACAGATATTATAATAGGACTTTTTCTTAAATAAAAAGCAGCAAATGATGAGTCAGAATCAGTTCCTAAATCAATTACTTCTTTGGTTTCTGTATTATCTATAGATATAAAATTTAACTTTTAGTTATCACTATGATAATTATCATTTTTACTTAAATGGATAGAAGTCTAAATTATTCTTAAACTTATATTCACGAAAATAAATATTTGCATACTTGTTTAATTTTTTAGGTACAAATGATAAATAACTTGAATCATCTAAAAATACTGAAATATAATCTGATCCAATTTTATTTGGATTAATAACCTAAATAAATTGGGAAAATTTAATACTTTGTTTATTAAATAGACTTATACTTTAAATGCTCCTGTTTTATTTAATTGGTTTTATAATATATCATTAGAGGCGCATGTACTATTTTCTGAAATTAAAGATTAATTGCAAGGGGCAACATCAATTTTAAGAAAATTAAAATAGTTTGCTAAACATAAAAATTATATTTACATGCGAATGTACCACCAATATTCATGCTTATGTTAATTCTATGATATATTTCATAACAATTACTTTGGACATAATAAGTTCTCTAATTTCAAATGATTAAAGTCTTCTGAAAAGTTTTTACCATATTTTTGGAATACCTTTTGGAATCTTTCTGGTGTGCATGGTTCAAGTGGAAGTTATGTAATATTTTTTTTAATTGATCCATTGTCTAATCGTTCGTATTCTCTGATATATTAAATCGAAGATATTACCTTTATTGAAGAGTAACTGAAAAATAAGGTTATGACAAAAAGTTCGATTATTCAATTCCAAGTGCTATTATGAAATCTTCATCATCTAGTTGAAGATTGGAAAGATCATTATCATAAACTTAAGTTTACTTTGTTATAATGTTCTTTCCTTCCAAATAGTCCAGAAAATTAGTAGAGAAAAAGAGAAACACAAGAAAAATTGTTGTTATTGATGTAAATCCACCAAATGATGATTAATATGCGGATTAATGATTCATTCCTAAGGAAGGTGATTGAGCAAATATATCACAAGCTTTTAAATCTATTCTAATTATAATAAATATTACATGAATTTATTCTTTCCATCAGAAATGTTTAATTTTAATAATATTTTAATATTATCAAACATAAAGATTAATTGATTTAATAGATTAGATTTAATAATTTACTTCTTAATTTATCCTATAAATTACTTGAGTTCAATTTTCAAATTTAGATTAAGGTAAATGTATTAAATTGAAGCTTAATATGATGTGTTTAATAAAATTAAATTATAATAATAGCGATATCATAAAATAATTATGATTTTAAATGATAATTATGTTATCCAATATAAATAATGTCATCAATTTGTTATAGATAGAAAATAATTCCATTTAGAATACAACTATTAAGCAATCTCTAATAAATCTATATATACTAATGATTTCAGATATTTGATTAAAATATGTTTTTGATAGTTTAAGAGATTAAATTATATTTTTTGGTTCTCAATTTTTCCAAAGGATAGAATACTAATTTTGCAGTAATATTAATAACAAAGGATAAAGCTAGATTAGTTATTTTATTATTAAAGTAAGGAATGATATTTAAATATTTTTGAAAATGATTATTAGCTTCGAAATAATTAGATCCATACATTGGAGTGCTTATCAATGAGAGAGGAAAGACTCTATATTATATTAATATTCCTTTAGTTTTGATTATTCTAATGAATTGAGCAATAAAGTTGTTTTTCAAAACCAGAAAATTTTTTTATAATCTGATTCTTTTAATTTTAATCTAGTAACTAAGAAATGATAATTAAAAAATTAATGAGTGAAACCAACAAATGAATCTAGTTTAAAAGCATTTATTTTTTGTTTAATATTTTTAGAATAGAAATTAATTAGTTTTTTCATTGATGAAAAACAATAATCCATAAAAAATATATATATGTCTGAGATCATAAGGAAAGTTTACAAAGAGATAATTGATGCTCTTTGTATCGTTACTTTGATGATACTTCAGTACATCCATAGAAAATAATGGTCAAAATTTCATTTTAGATATTTTTGATGATTATTTGATCAAATTTAATAACATTATAATGGAGTAAAAATTAATATTGTATTTAAAATAACTGAGAAATCTCATCAGAAAGTCTTTGATAATTTTATAATTTTTTATTTAGAAGTGAGAAATTAATTTATTTATTTTGATTAATTCATTAATGTAATAACAAAGAAATAGTGTTTTTAAAAACTTAGAATAATTGCAGTACTGTGTAAAAAACGATGAATTTTTGGATGTGATAAAATCATTCTTAAAATTTAAAGCAAAAGCTTTGTAGATATTAGATTCCATAGAACAATCAATTATGAATACTACAATTAGATGTATGCCAAAAGAAATGATTGGATTATATGATGCTTATGATACAATAGATATAATAGATTGGTTAAAAAATATTTGTGAAATTGAGGGTAGGTCAGTCTTGGAGGAAATAAAACTAGAAAAATAAAACATTTAAAAATTAAAACACTCATATGAGATAACTTTAAAGAAAAATTTAAAAGATTTATAGGAAAATTTAGAAAAAACTCTTGTTGCTATAAACAATCAAGTAGAATATCAAACGGATTTAACAATTAAAAGATTATTGAAAAGAGATGAAAGTATTGTTTTGGAGAATAATGGAATTTTATTTGATGCAAATGTTGCTGTAGTTTGTGTTTTTGAACCTAAATCAAATGGATTACTTTTAAAAGGATTTCATTAACCAATATTTTTTGATGGAATCTATTTTGAATAACCTATTAATTTCAAAGAAGCTCCACATAAAATTAAGTATACTTTGCATAAAGGATTCAATTTAAGGGAATGTTTGTATGAAGAAGAGTTTTCTATTTATGATCCTGAATTTAAAAAGGTAGATGACAATAATTATTTAATTGAATTTTAGCAAAAGATTAAATTAGAAAAGGGATTTAAGTATTGTTTGTGTGCTTATGCTGGTCAAGATGAATTCTTTGGTACTATCTAATATACAGATATTGAATAAGATAATCCATATATTAAATTTCAAGAAAAACCTTATGAATTTGCAAAGTTTATTGTACCAGCTCATATTTAATAGGTAATATCAGAAAATAAATCGGGGATATTTCCAGCATTAATTGTAATTGAAGAATGATTAATGTGAATGAATTACATAATAGTTTGATATATTTAATTAAAAAAATAAAATGAAGAAATAAGATTGGAAATTCATGTAAGTATTTGGAGACAAAGCTTCTTCTGATAATGTTAGTGATGAGGACATTATATCAGCAGTATAATTTGAAAGGACAGGAAGATTTTTAGGTTTGGGAGACAGAGCAGGAAGATTAATAGTGTTTGAAGTTCCATAAAGTAAGAAGAAAGATAAAGCAGATTATTAGTATAAATTTTAAGCGATTGTATAGGTATTTAACTGAGCTTCAATCTCATACTAGGGAGTTTGATTTCTTAAAGAGTACTGATATTGAAGAAAAGATTAATTAACTCTAATGGTTAAGAGGATAAGGTAAAAATATGTATATATTGACGACAAATGATAAAACAGTGAAATTATGGAAGATCAGCGAGAAGAATGTTACAAAAGTAATTAAACCAAGTGGAAAAGATTTAGCTATGCCAAAATTATAAGTAGTTGAAAGTGGATTAATTCCAAGGTAATTAAATATTGTAAAAATAAAAGTGTGAGAAAAGTATTTCCAAATTTACATAATTATCACATAAATTCACTAACTGCCTCTAATAATGAAGAGTTTGTTTTGACTTCAGATGATTTAAAAGTTTATTTATGGAGTATTGAATAACCATCCAAAGCTTTTGTAGCTGTTGATTTAAAACCAGAGAATTTAGACGAATTAAGTGAAGTTATTACATCATCTACATTTCATCCAACTTTGGATAATCAATTTTTATATACTACAAGCAAAGGAATAATTAAGTTATGTGATATGAGAAAGTCAGGTATTTGTGATAATACTGCTATTACAATGGCTGAACCAGAAGATCCAGCAAAGAAGAATTTCTTTACTGAAATTGTTACATCTATATCTGATGCATGTTTTAGTCGAAATGGGAAATATATATTCTCTAGAGATTTTCTCACTGTTAAAGTATGGGATATTGCGATGACAAATAAACCTGTTGCTACAGTCTAAGTCTTTGAACCACTTAAATCTAAATTATGTGATCTTTATGAAAATGAATGCATTTTTGATAAGTTTTCTATTGCATCAACTATTGATTCTAATAGTTTTGTTACTGGAAACTTTAATAGTACTTTTCATATTGTTGATAGGATGGGTAAATTCATATTATTATTTCTAGGAGAATTTAATTCTCAATATGAACTTAATTTTAATAAGAAAACTGTTGTGAGATAAATCCCACCAAAGTACTTCGAGAATTTGGGATCATCTTATGATTTTAATCGTAAAGTCTAAAAAATAAGTATGTGCCAAACCTAAAATCTTGTTGCTATAGCTTGCCTCAATTGTCTCTATTTCTACACAGCATGACAATTACATATTTATCCAATTATAAATATATCTATAATATATTATTATATTATAGTTATTCATAATCATCCTACATGTGGAATTTGTTAAACAACTCCATTTCCATCATGTAATACTCTAACTCTATCCATTCTATAATCCATTGTTACCATTGAATTATAAGGCAGTAATTACACTTTTAAATTACCATTATCAGCAAGTATCATTTACTTAGCTTTTCAGCTGTCTTACCAACACATTCTGGCCATTATTATTTGCCTTATGGCTATTAAATATTCATTCTAAATTCTTTATTATATTATCACATTTATAATTATTAGATTGATATATATATATAATTTCATATTCTCTATTTTAAACATGGACTCACTCTATCTACTATATTCCTTAAACTTTCAAACTTACATTCTATCAATTAATTGATCTCGATTATCTTCATATTAATGTATTAAATAGATTATAAATATTTTTTAGAAGAAGAGATAGCAGTTCCATATTAACTGCCTCTTAAAAATTGAACATGTGGCTTTGTATGTTTATTTATTATACTATCATATACTATCATTTTTTTGTTTTGTATTTTGCTCCAAGAACGAGTTATAACTTTCCTCCTGTTGATCTTCCCAATTGACTTGAGCATTTACTAACACTATAAAAGGCAATCATTACATGCAAGTGATAATTCCTCTAGCATGGGAGAATACGGTGTTATTAGCTTGACACTATGGGCATTTGACATCCATGAAGTATGAGTTTGGAGCTTAAATTAATCTCTTCAATTTATGCTTTCTCTTTTCACTTTCATATTAAGGTCTCAATAAATCTTGGTCCATTATTTAAATTTATTTTTAAATTAATTTATTTATTTCAAATACTCCAATGTACTATACTACACATACTACTTCTATCATATACACCTCTAACTTCTTATAAATAAAACATTTAAAATAAATCAAACTTATATATATACTCAAAAAAAAATTATTTAATCATCTCTCATTATCCCATTTATAGAACATCCTTTTCTTCTTCTATTATTTGATTATTTATTTCATTCATCTTTAAATATACGTGCAAAGAAGCTATAGCATCTAAAGCAGCATAATGAATTTAAGCCTTTCTTAAAGGTCTGTATTCCCAATTACTGCAGGTTTCATATTTACTCAATTTCTTTTTAAAATAAAATTCTGTTATATATGCTAATGATTTTAATTTTGGATCTTTTTCTAACATTTTAAAACAATTTGACAATTCTATCACTGATCTAACTATAATATTCTTCAATTTTAAATGATTTACAGTGTGCTTCAAATCATCTTTCAAACTTAAACCAATTTTTGGTATCTCAAAATTCTCTAATAACTTTCTTATATCATCCTTAAATTCTTAATGATTTTAGAGTCTCTAAAAGTCAAACAAAAACACATGATTTTATGTAGCTATTTAAACTAAACAGACTTTAAATCCTTAATAATCTAATTTGGTCCAAGGTGTTACATTCTCACAATCATAACCTATTAAATTTATTTCTTAATATTACCAACAGCTTTGCTTGAATGAATACATTTCCATGCATCAAAATAGTTTTAATCAACTTTATCAACAACAAATATTTGATTTTCTTGATAACCAAAATCAGAGCAAAGCAAATAAACACCATTTTCATTATTCACAAATTCTTCTGTTGGTTTAAATTCATCTTTAACAAACAATACATTTGGAATTTCTTCAAATCCTTCTTAAAAATCCTATTTTATATATTCTTTTTAATTTTCCTTTTTTATTTGGTTTAATAAGTTATTTCTTTTAATTATTGAAAGTGCTTCTTTTTTATAATTGTGATAATATGCATCTTCACAATAATAAACTAATAAAGATTAATTGTACAAGAGCTTTTCTTCACATTAAAACCAAGAATACTCTTTGGATAAATATCTAATACAGCTTTTTTCTAGTCTTTCAACTATCTTAGGATAATTTTCTGGATCATAATTTAATTTTTTGATGAAATCAGCAGCTTTTCCAGCATCTTTATTATTTCCCATTTAATCTACTAAATTATAAAAATAATTCTTTGGCAATTTTAAATTCTAATACAACAAGAATGCATCATCAAATTTCTTTTGTTAAACCAAGTCTAAGTAATGATTAAGTAAACTTAAAATAATTATAAATTTTACTCTTATTCAGTAATTTAATCTTACAATTAAAAAAGAATAATAAATTCATTCAATTCTTAGAATTATAAATTCTTCCAAATTTTAGCTATTCCTGAGTCTTAAAACTGTTTAAGGTTTAATTGGTCTTGATTTTATTTTAAATATTAAAATAAAACTCTGATAAAGACTCTTTAAACATTGTTTTAAATCAATCCTTCAAGTATTTTCTATATATTCTACTAGAACAGTTAGGTATTACCTTATTCTAAAACCTTTTCAAAATGATTTTAGATTAACTAATTATAATTTATTGAATTACACCAAAAGATGGCTTATTTGTACCAATATACTACTTTAAATCGACAAATCCATTAACTCCAACAATGATTTTTTGAATGATTTCAATCAATTTATCATCATTAAAGATTTCTTCTTCCTTTTCGATTTACTACATAATTAATTTTATTTTTTTTTTAATTAAAAAATGATAATCATTTTGTTAAAATTTGTTTTAGTAATAGGATATATATTTAATGCTTTTTAAAAAAATAAATATAATAATTATTTTGAGAATGTAAAAGATAGTTAAAGATTTCATTAATATTGTAATTGTTGATTAATTAAAGTAAAAATAACTCTATTCATTTTGATTTAGAGAAATGAGTGTTAATAGTATGATATAATAATCTACTAATATTGGATATATTATTTTAGATTGTACCAACAATATTGTATATGAATTCTACAGACGTAATCAAAGTTTGATAGAGATTAGTTAACAATGCTATTACGATGGCTAAAGCATATATATAAAATTGCATCAATAGAATTATCCTGTAACATTTGTTATCATAGGACATAGCATACTTTACATATAAACTAATATAAGTGTAGATCCTTAAGAATAAATCTGAAATCAAAATAAATGGTAACAACATGAAACTGATAAGCAAAGCAACAAATAATCCAAACATCATTTTTAATATTGAAAAACAAATCTTTTTAACTCTATTTTCTGATTAATTAAGTTTTTTATTAGTATTTTCATTAGTTATTGTTTGTGTTTATCGTTTCAATTAAGGTTTATGGTTTACTCTCTTTTCTAATTTGAGAACAAAAAAAATAATTATAAGATTGATTTTCCATTTTTTCATTGCTTCTGATTTCCAATTAAAAATCTTCTTTTATTTCTCTTTAAATTCATAAGTCGGATTTCTGAATTTGATTCTTTTTTTTTGATATTCCACAGTCTCTAAACCTAACATTCCTTTTTAAGGTTTTGTAGGTTCTTCTTTTTCATAATGATCAGTAGTTGTTATTTCTATAAGTTTATCAGAGTCTGTTATATTCTAAATTACAAGTCTTGGAGTTTTTGTTTCTTTTTAAGTATCTATATTTAAATCTTATCTATCACTGTTATATTTAGAAGGTGAAAAAATGTTTGGTTCCAAGCATTTGTTATATTCATTTAAAGTTTGTTTTATTGAATTTTCAATAGGATAATGACTATTATCCTCTTTAATTTGTATTAAAATAGTATTATTAGGATCACCATCATCACCTTTTAAATTTGAGTACTCACGATATATTGGTTTATTCATTTATAATATTTTGAAATATAATTAGAATACAGTAAAATTCAATAACTCATTATTTTTTTGGATTGCTTTATCTTCTTTATTATTTTGATTTACTTCCAATTTTCCTTAAATCTTTATTAATCTACATATTTTGATCATCTTTTTATTTTATAATATTTTGAAGTTCCTAAATTTTAGTGTCTTTTTCTGCAACTTTATTTTACAAATCAGATACTCTGTAATTTAAATCCTAATTCATAACCTATAATGTTTATATAGCTTTGTCTTTTTATAAACAATTCCCCTTCTCTTATTCTAATAGATCATTTAATGTTTCAACTTCATCTTATAATTCAGCATTTTTTGCTTCAAGTTCTGAAACTCTTTATCTTAGCTATAATATTGATTCATAAAACCTGATCGTTCTCTTAATAAGAGATTTCTTAAATGTATTTACATTGTTGATGAGGATCCATTAAGGAAAAATTAAAATTAAATAAAAAATAGTCTTGGCTCAATTAAAAAAATTGTTATTTTTATTGATTCTAATAAAAAGTATTAAAATGTTTATCACAAACAAATAATAAGTGTCATAATAAAAAAGATCATAAATACTATTACACAATTCTTTTGAGATCTTATAATTGAATAGGTTTGGTTAAATAATCCTTCATTCCAGCATTAAGACATTCTAATTTTTAGTCTGAACTTTCATATGCAGAACATCCAATTATTCTAACATCAATTCCAAATTTTAGTGATAATTCTAAAATCTTTTTAGTTGTCTAAATTCCATTTATTGTTGGCATTTCCAAATCCATAAAGATTAATTTATAATAATCTTCATTTGCTTACCATTTCTTTTAACATTTTTCTATAGCCAAATATCCATTAGTAGCAGAATCAACTTAATCCTATCCACTATTTATTATAAATATATCTTACAGTTATAATAATCTCCTTTTTAACATATCAATATTCAAACATACGTCATCAACTATTAAAATTTATGTGGTTTCTATTGCTTTTGTTGATCTTTTAAAAATGGAAGCCTAATTATTAACATAAACTTAATGAATAGATTCTTCTTATTATTATTACATTATAATAGATTCTTCACTATCTTAATTTCTTTCTTCCATACTATTTAATGATCTTATCTCATTTATATCTTAATATTGAATCTAAAAATAAAATGTTGAACCTAATTTCAATCATATTAACTATTATACCTTTTTTATATTAAGATTTAAATTTTAATCCGTTTTATACATCTTAATTTAAATTCTACAGAATTTGATTACTAATTAATAGTCCTAATCCTACACCTGATTTATTCATTTTTTTATGTTCCTCACTATTGCCTTTTCCAAATGCTTAAAATATTTTTAATTAATCTTCTTCAGTCATTCCAATTCCAGTATCAATAACTGATACTTCTAATCTTAAATTAATTTAAGTCACTTTAATTGTTACTGATCCTTCATCAGTGAATTTAAATGCATTTCCTAATAAATTTATCATGATTTATTTTAATCTACTAGGATCAGAATAAATATATCGTGGAGCTTTATTTTCATAATTAATATAAAGTATAATTTATTTTTTATCTGCCATAACTTGAAATAAATCTACACAAGTTTCCAATAATTAATTAAAATTAAATTTAGCTTTATTGATTTTAAATTTTCCTACTTTAATTTATGCCAAATCTAATAAATCATCACTTAAATTTTATAAATATTTTGCATGATCTAATGCTATTTTGATTTATTTTGACATTTTAATAGGAATATTAGTTTTAGTTGATCTACGAACATCCTTCTCCATTATCATTGTTTATGATGAATATTTCTAATCTTAATCTATTCCTTATTCTAACATATCAATTATACAATTCAATGGTGTTCTATATTCATGACTTACAAATGATAAGGTCTTTGATTTCTATTTACTATAATCACGTAATTATGATATATAATCTCTATGAGTTATATCTCGAGTAAGCATTAAAATATAAGGAACATCAATAATTAATGCGTTATACAATTTTACTTCTATTGTTCTATTCTTTTTACCATCTAATCCTTTTTAATAACCCAAAATTACTATATGCTCTTAAATTAATTGATTTTAATATTTCATTTAATTTTAAAAATCGACTTTTCTCATTTAAGATGAAATATATATTAATTCCTATTCCAATATCTAAATTATTAATTAACATTACCGATTCCTCCAATGTATCACATTTCTTTGATATTACACCTTTGTATTCTAAATTATTTAGAACTGAATTTTATCTAAATAATTCTAATTTTTAAGAGGTTTACATCTTATTAGTTAAAGATCTCTTATCATTTCTAGAAGCTTTATTAATTAAATTACAAGGAATTGGAGTTTATTTAAAAGTAGAAAATGAACTCATTGAATTTTTATAATCATATTATTACTTTTCTTAATCTTATTAAACCTATTATTATTCTAAACAAAATAAAGATGTTAAAATCTAATCTGATTATTTTGCCATTGATAATTTTAATAAATTTTCATTATGATATTCCAATTCTATCTTCTTTTCATAAATCTTTATTAACCCTATTCCTTAAGGAAATATGCTCAAAATTTCTAACTTATTGTCTTTATCATGTCTTGGACTTTCATGATTACTTCCCTTTTCTTATACTTTTAAACGTGAATGATTCTAAGTATTTCCAGCACTATCAATTATTATTTTATCATGTATTTCTTGCTATGTAGAACTATCGATATTTTTTCTAATTATTTTTGATTTAGAAATATGAAATAAAATTAGCCAATGAACCATTATAGCTGTAATTGATAAATATACTTAATTATTGTCTTCTAATAAGATTATAGTAAATAGGATAAGATCAGAAACAACTAAGTAAATTATTTATAGTTTATTAGGTAAAGGCAACTCAGCATTTATTTTACAAAAAAAGAACTCTTTTAAACAACACAATGCCAATATTAGCATTGTATCAAATTTTGAACTCATGTATAATCCAAAAAGTAATATCCATTACTAAAGCATTTCAAATTGTATTGTATATTTCTTTGTTTTGGAAATAAAACTCAACATTACATTCAATATCTAAACTCCAACAATAAGAATTGTTATAATTAAAGATCCTTCTCCAAATATACTTTAAAACATTATCAAAAGTGTAATCATTATCATTATCCAAAAATCTTTGAATACTTTTTAGAATTGATTCATACAAAATAATAAATAATATATATTCAATAAATATTCACTGTTGTTCTCTATCTTCATTATAAATACACTCAAGACTTGTTTTTTGATGATCAATACAATTAAATAATCCTTAACTTTTTTTTTAAATATAAAACTAAATTATCCTATTCTTTTATCTAATAAAATAAATTACAGTTTTTTTATCTTTCTTCCAATATTTGACATAAGATTATTATTAGCTTTTTAACAATCATTTTTCATAGTAATCAATCTAATTATCAATTAAAACAAGATTAATTAGAATTAATTTTAATTTCCTGTACTTCTTAGAAATGCGATGGCAAATAAATATTAATTGATAAATTAATTGAATTAAAAATTGTTTGACCTTAATAAAAAAATAATTATCGAAACTATATTTATTTACTATTTATCACTTTTTCTTTAAATTTAAACTTTATTGCAAATATTGAAATATTTTCACCAATTTTACTCTCTTAAAATAATATTAAACAAATCAAATTACAAAACTATAATTATTTTTTTCTATTAAACAAAATATTTTATTTCTGATTTATAATATAAATTATTTCTTTATTCTCAAAAAGCATATTAAAGAATTAAGAATTATCTTTAAAAAAATTGTAAATTATTAATAAGAATAACAAAATAAATCGATTAAATTTGCGATGGATAAAAGATTCAAACATACTCTTGTGGCATTTAAAATATGTCCTTATTGTATGAAAGTGCTTACAGTAATGTGTCATAAAAATATTAAATTTGAAATCAAGTTTATAGAAATTCATAATAAACCTGATTGGTTTATAAAAATTAGTCCTCTCGAAAAAGTACCTATTTTAATAATTGGTGAAGAAGGTATCATTTAATATTAAATTCTTAGTTGTTTTATTTGAATCAGCAGCAATAATGGAATACATTGATGAAATTACACCACCTAAATTAATGCCAGATGATCCTATTTAGAAAGCATTAGACAGAGCTAAATTTGAATATTCAAATGAGATAATAAAAAATCTGTACTAATTCATCTTTACAACAGAATAAGAAGTAAATTCATTTTTAAAAGGAATAGAAATTTGTCAAACTAAAAGAATGGTTAATAAAACGATTCTAGCAAATGGGAGAATGGTTAAAAGATAAAAAATACGTGAATGGATTAGAACTATCTTTAGTTGATCTTAATTTTGTACCAGTTTTTGTAGTATTAAATATGCTGAAGCCTATTTTACCTTGTGATATATTAAAGGATTAAAAAAGAGTATGAATGAGGAATAGAAATAGTTATAAAATTATGGAGAATCTTTAACATCCTTGTCTTGTGCAAAAACCGGAAGAGTTCCAGATTATGAATTTTTGATGATTGATGGAATTAAAAATAAAAATACTGTACTTTTTAGGTCTAATCCATGCTATTTTAATGGACCTCAGGCTTCGCGTTGTTTGTTCTTTGGAAAATGATCATTTTTATCTTATATTGGGTTTTTTTCTTTTTTAATTTTTTCAAGTTAATAGATTAATCAAATTTAAATTTCATGATGTAATTATAAATCAATAAATCTTAATTATTGAAAATAAAAGAATGAAATACATTAAATTTTTTGAGAATAATTTAAATTAATAATGTAAAATAAAATAAGTTATTTTTTTTTCATTATTGAAATACAATCCAAATAAGAACTATTATCAAAGAAGAATAATTTGTAATTTATCCACAATTAAATTTATTTTAGGAGCTTTATTCAGGAAAAGTTGTTTCAATGAGATATTTAATTATATTTATGATTGATATGGCTGAATATATATTTTTTGAATAGATGAATAATAGATAAATTGTTGTTATTGACTAAAATACTGCTACGAGGATGAATTTAGAATGATATAAATAAATGGATTATGAAAGAAGAAGGGCAATTCTAATTAAGTATGATAAGACATAATTAAAATTAATAATATCAGACTGAATTCTAAAAATGATTTTTATTATTAATTAACTATCATCCATATAATCATTAAATTCTAATCAATCAAGAGATTTCTTCTTAATTTAAACAGCTTAAGCGTCTTTTTTTTAAGAATTTTCCTAATTCGTTATCAATTTATTTAATCAACTTAGAATTAATAGTTTTTTGACAAATAAGATTGTTTTCATTATTTTCCATTTCTTCTATTACTGTTTTATAAGCCTTAATAATTAATTTAGTTACATCTTAAAGTTAAGTAAATAGTTCTTCATTTAGTGTATCTTCTTTATTTCGAATATATGATTATCTATTTTAATAATCAAGTTCTATTCTTGAAGGTACATTATTCTCTTAATTTAGAGTGATGATTGGTTTTGGAGTAAAATTAAATAGAATTTACTGAGGCTTTTACAGTAATACTGATTTCAATTTAGATACTTCTTATAATTAATGAAGAATATTATGTAAATCTAATTCATTATTAATTTTGATCCTTTAAAATAGGTTAATATTAATACAGAGCTTTTGTAAAAAATTATGAGTTTGTGTTATTGAAGAAATATCCACAACTTAATTCATTTATAAGAATCTTTAAATTTAATTTAATTGGTTAAGATCTTTCAACAAGTTTATATATGAATTGTTTCCATTCAACTTTTTATAAATCATTATTTGGTAGATTTTTTATACTAGTATTCATTTCATCTGGTGGAGTTGCAATTACACCAATATTTTAAGTAAAAGCACATTTTCTCACATAAGATCTATTTGTAACTTCTTTAAAATCATATAATCTATTTGCTAATTCTATTAACATAGATGTTCTATTATAGAATGCAATAAAAAATCCAAATATTACTCTAAATATTTACATAAATCCTCCTAAATAAGATAAGAGATCACCAAGCTTTTAATAATTTCTATCAATTATTTCACTAAAAGGACTTCTTCTTAAATATATTGTTGCATAGATATCATCTGTATCTCTACCTAACTCAGTTAAATCTCTAAAATCTTCAGCTTTTCTTACTATTATTTCCTCTCTCTAAATATCTCTAATCTTTATATCAATTATATACTCATAAGGTAATAAACTTTAATCATTATTAACAAGATATGATCTATAATAAACATTAGCTAATCTTGATAATTTATTAGGTACAAATGAAAAGTACATATCACTATCTAAATACATAGTTTTATAATTTTAAGCCTTTTATGGATTAACCATAGTATTTATTTGAAAGACTTAAAGTTTAAATTGTCCATATGTATTTAAATATAACTACTTTTAATCTTCATTTGCACAGACAGGATTCCAATAAGTTGAATTAGATTTATTCTAACAATCAGATACAATTATTTTGATAAATTTAAATGTTTCACTGGAGTATGTTCCTTATAACTCCAGTGAATAATTAATCCTATATAATTCATATAAATTACTTTGGACATAACCATTATTTCATCCCTAAATAGTTAAATGAGTCATTAAAATTAGTATCGATATCCTGTTATTCAACTACATTATTAAATCTATCCAATGTACATGGCTCTAGAGGTATTTATATTGTTGATTTTTTTATTGTCCCATTTAACGATCTTTCATATATTCTAGATCGATAAATTCTTACTTTTATTCCATTGTAATATTAAAAAATGGAAAATCTGTAAAATTGCTTTAGTCTATTGATAAAGCAAACATTGAATTATTATCATTCATTTTCATGTAATTAGGATCATTAGAAAATACAGTTTAGGAATTATAATACACATTTGCTTTTGTAAAAAAATCTGCAATGTTTGAATAGAAAATAAGACTCAACAAACAAATTATCATTATTGAAGAACAACCACCAAATGATGTTGTATAATTTGCATTTTTATTCATGTTAAGAGTTATTGTTTAGCCAAATATATCTATTCTCTATAATCCTTTCTAAATGGAATTAAACATCTTTAATTATTTATTATAATAAAAGAAAATCCTAAATCAAGTTTTAAGAAAGAAAGAGATTTCTTCAGATTTAACATTCCTATTCTTCTTTAAAAAAAAGATTATCCTTTAAATCTCAATTTTTATTTTTTTTCTCCGTTAGAAAATAAATCAAAAAAATATTTTTACTATTAAAAGTAATCAAACTTTATTTCATAATAAAATTTTAGACCTAAATTAAATTATTTTATATAATAATATCTTTGAATATTATTTTATTATGATAAAGACTATATTTAAATTTATTTGATTTGAGAACTTCCCTAGATTATCTCAATTCTCTTTATAAACATCTATATTTATTCATACTTTAAAAATTTTTATTAGCAACAAATTCATTATTATGATATGAAAGCTTTTATGAATGATTGTAATCAATACTCAAATTTATAATCAATTTAGCTGAAAATTTAAATAAATTATTAAGATTTTTCTGAATAAATTTATTTCTGTTTTTTATCCCACATAATTTATTGTGAGAAACTTATAATCTATATTTTTATATCTAAATTAACTATTTTAATTTAACTAACTTTATTGATCTATTGCAAATTCTAATGTAAGATTAAATAACAAATAAAAATCTTGTAATTTTTTATGATTATTCTTAAAATTTTAAAGTTGCAATCATAAAATATTCCTTTTTGATTTTAATAATAAATGAAGCATTTGATTAAATTATTTTACTTTAATAGAGATATTTGGAATTTAAAGAGAGTTAAATAACATTAAAATACCTTTACAAATATTTATTTTTTTATTTGATATTAACAAATGCTTTATTCTTAATTTTTTTATTTCTTTAAACCTTCAAAAAGATCTCAATAAAAAAAAATAAAAAAAATATCTGTTAGAATCATATAATTTTTAATAATTTAAATCAAAATTATTCTTAATAAGGAACTCAATTAAATATAAATTTCTACATTAAATAATTAAATCAAAATACTGTATTCCTAAATTTCTGATCATTCCACTTGAAAAAAGAATATAATTTTGGATATAAATTTACACTTAAATTAAATATCAATATAATTTATAGAAAAATAATGAAATAAAACTTAAAATTAAATATCAATATAAATTATAGAAAAATAATAAAAAAAAAAGAAAGATGTAGGAATCTTAAAATTATTTAATCACTCAAACCACACTGGTAAAAAAATCTTCAAAAAATGAAAACAACACCTCCTAAATGGGTATAATTACCTTGGAATAAGAATACATTGATTTTTAATCTATTTTACCAATAAAGGTAACAGAGTTAAATAGATATATGATATGCTTATGCCAACGTAACCATAAAATTATTTTTAGAAATTATTGAAATTTAATATAGAAATATATTTGTTGAGTAAATCAATTTGTAAACTTTATAAATTTTACCATAAGAATCACGCTCTTACCTTTTTTTTTTTAAAGAATCATATGAAACCTAGAATTTTTTATAAAATATTAAAATATTATGTATTCTTGCATTAATATTTAGTAACTTAGCTTGGTTATGATAATATTTTTTTTAATGAAGCAAATAAAATATAAGAAATTTTATTCAAATTAGTTTAATAATGTGATGTTTTATTGAATGATTAAAATTTAACAATCTGTTAGAAATTTAGATCTGAATAATTTTAAATGGATTTTTTAAAATCCTAAAATAACAAAAAAATCTTATTTTAAAGATAAAATGTACCTTCATCTATGGATTTAATATCAAAACTAAATTGTGAGGATAAAAATATAAGAATCGATTAAAAAAAAGACTATTTTCACTTTAAATATAAAGATAATTTTCTATTTGAAAAATTAACTTGGATATTTCCAAATGTATAAAAATATTAAGATTTAAGTTTAAACATTAAAAATAATAAATAAACTTTATTATATCTTTAATCATTACATAAATAAATAAAAAGCAATACTATCACCCTTTAGGGTATAGCATAAAAAAGGACTTACTCAACGAAAATTAACATATGGAAAATGAATGATAATCCATAAATTTCATAGTTTTAAGGAGGGTTGATGACCAAGCACAATCAGGAGTAATAAAAATTATTGAAAATTTAAAGAATATCTCTGAAATACCTTTTAGGTTTATCAAAAATTACTTCAAATTAAATCTTAACCTTATTGATAGAAAATAATAGTTTCCTTCCTTAATATATACATAAACTATACTGTTACAATGAGCTATAATGCAAAATGCATAATAAAGAAACAATTAATAGTAGAAATATATTAGAAAAACGTTTATACATTAAATATTATGAATACATCTAAAACTTATAAACGAATTTAAATAAAAAAGAATAAAAGTATGTATTAAAGAAATTGAAAAAGTTAAAGGAAATATGTCTTAGAACTTTATGTGAAATTGATTTTTGATTCATATTTCATACTAAAAGGAATAATATTAATTATAATATAGTATCAACCTCAAATTTTTAAAATTAAACTAATCTACTCTGATTCCATAAATTATGCTTATATGCTTAATTATATTATATATCAGCTTTGAATTTTGTTTTTGGGAACATTATTTAAAATCGATAAAAACTGTTTTTTTTATTATTAATAATACCTTCGAAATATTTTTTCATAAATTTTGTTTGATTAACTAAATTTGAAATTGATGTGAGCCTAAGAAAAATTATTATAATTACTTTTAGATGGGATTTTAATATGATTTAAAAAAATTAATTAAGTTTATAAAAAATACCAATATTTTAAAAATTTTGATCAATTTGATTCAACTCTAAAACTAAAGGTTCTTTTTAAGTAATCTTTTCTTGGAGTGTTGTTATTCTATTATTCATAATAATTATCATAAATTTTTCCTTCTTTAATAGTTTTAGAAATGTCCAAAGAGAAATGAACACTTTTTCTTGGATATTTAAATTGCTAAAGTATTTGACATTGAGGATTAATGGTTAATCTTTAAGCCAAAACTCTATCAAATAATGTATTAAATTAAACTTTAAATTTGATAAGTGCATTATCTAATTTAATATATTATTGTATATATACTGTTATTTGAAAAACTCTCAATAGAATGACTTTATTATTTCATAATTTCCTAAAATTTATTTAGTTCTTTTAGGAAAATTTATTGCTTAGATAATTTTTATTATTCTTATTTTTTAAGAAAGAAAAATGATTATCTAATTATTTAATACATTGGTAGAAATATAATATAGATTAAAATAATTTGTAATAGAATAAGTCCAAATGAGGATAAAGCAGTGATTAATATCATTTTGTTGAAATTTTGATTAAGGATATGAAGAAGTTGGTTGATATTAAATTCAATTTCTTATTCGATTTAAAGATCATAAAAAAGAATAAGGAAATAGTTGATATTCTATAATTTGATTATTTTAAGAGCAACATCTTTGTTATATATGCTATTAAATCTACATAAAATTTATAAATTATCGTAATTGCAAGTAGAATTAAATTCTTAGTTATAATGATAACTTAGAATAGAATTCCAATCTTCAGTAGTAAATCCTGTAATTTATTCATCATCAAATTTTGTCAATTTTGAGTAGTTTGATACTATAATGTTTTTATAATTAGTTAAAACTAATGTACCTTCAGTATTGACAATCATGATATTGATATTCAATTAAGGAATATAGCTATTTTTGAAAACAAGATCAGAGCAAAATATTCCATCTACTTCTTTATTTAAATTTAACATAGATTAAGTCATTGTCATAGAATATATTGGTTGTGTATCAAAATATCTATAAAGATCAGTTATTTAAGTGTGATTATTTTTATCTTTTTCTAAATTTCTAAAGTGTGATTTATACCATTCTCTTTCTTTTAGAATAAAATCAGGATAACGTATGATTTAAGGATATAAAAAACCATATTATACCGAATTTATAGAAGAGACAAAATAAATTTAATTTGGTAAAAACTCATCATTTAATCTTAATAAACTCAAAATTGTTGAGCTCACTAAATTAGTTATACTTTGCAATTATTGGTTTGTATTACTATCTAAGTAAGGAGATTATTCACTTTAATTTAATCCAAATCTTGAAAAACATAAAATTGAATATTTATTTTCTTCAGGGATTATTGTATCATTATAATCACAGGTTCGAGAAAACTACTGAGTTGTGTTTATTGAATTACTTAATTCTAGCCAATAAATCTAGTTAAGGTTCGTCAATGTAATCTAAGCTAAAAACTTAGACATTAAGTACTTCTTTTAAAAACTTAATCTAGTTGATAATTCATTAATAATGAAGCACTAGTTAAATGTTTGGACATTTCTAAAATTACATGTCTTTTTAAACATTCTTGAAGAATTTGTTATACATATTGCATATTTATAGTCTAAGCTAATAAGAGGGAAGGAATTAATATGGCCAAAATTATTCCATTTATAATTAAAATTTGTGTTCTCATTTTAAATTTACCAAGTCTTGTATTCAAACATCGACATATGAAGTTGCTTGCTTAGTTTTTATTCATTTTTATTGAAAAAACTATATAATTATAAATATTTAAAGTTTCAAAGTTTTTTTATGATTAATTTTTAACTGAATATTAGACTTACTTATTATTGAATGATATAAGTGTGGGAATGAAATTGATTCATGTTAGTTTAAAATAATTTATATATTGATTTTCTTAAATTATAATTAAATTAGTTAAATTTAACATGATTTATTTCTTTGCATTAATGTTATGGTCCTTTAAGTGTTAAAAAATAGAATCAAGAGATCAAACATGTAATAATAATTATAAATCAAAGTGTTTTATAAGTAACTAAATGAAAATGTAAATTTCTATTGTGAAACAGGATACGTAAAAGTTGAAGATGTTACTTAATCAGAGAATTATTTATTTTATCATCTTTTTTTAAAGTAAGGAGTAGAATCTTTATAAAATGTAAAAAAAGATGATAACTTTTTATTATGGATTCCTGGAGGTCCTGGATCTGCAGCTATGAAATATTCATTTAAATACACAGGTCCATTTAAAGTAGTTAAAGGAAAGTTAGTTTTATGGGTATAATAGCATATAATAAATTTACAGGATTACTTAATAAATGAATATGCTCATATTTTATATATTGATATGCCATTTGGAGCAGGATTCAGTTATTCAACAAAATAAGACGTAGTAAATACAACATAAGAAGCAGCAAATTATATTTTATAGTTTATTGAAATATTCTTAGATTCTCATAAAATGTTTTAATAGATTAACTTTCATGTTGTTGGAATAAGTTATGCAGGTCATTTTGTTCCAAGAATTGCAAATATGATTGTTAACTCAAATCTAAATTTGAATTATAGAGGTGTTTTTATAGGCGGTTCTTGGACAGAAGCTTTATCTTAGTATCGAAATCAAGCAACAACTTTAATTTCATATGGTCTAATAGATTAATATCGTTTTGATTTTATTAGAAATATAGAAGCCATTTAATAAAATCTAATGATGGAAGAAAAGTATTATGAAGCTGCTACTAGCACAATAGATATAACTTTTGATTTAGATTTCTTAGAATATTTTGATCCTGATAATGTTTATAAACATACAAATGATCCAAATGATAATAGCTATATATAATTTTTAATTGCAAATAAGGAACAATATGGAATTCCTCAAAATATTGCTTTTAATCCATCTAATTTTACTATATTATCCTCTTTTTATGCTGATACATATATGAGTTTTTTAAGTGATATAGAAAAATTATTATAAAAAGGTAAAGTCATGCTCTATAATGGATAATTTGATTATAACATTAGTCCTGCAGGTATATAGGTTATGATTAATAATATTAGAAATGAAATAGTTTAATAATGGAAACTATAGAAAAAGTAACCTTATTTTTATTATCAAAAATAAACTTAAGAAGTATCTATAGGTGGAACTATTAAATAATATCAAAATTTTGCATTTGCTATTGTATATTAGGCTGGTCATTTAACTTAACTAGATTAACCAGGATCGGCAAATTATTTGTTAAAATACTATTTAGAATTCTGATATCATATTTATTATATTTTAAATTAATTAAATTTCTAATTATTATTATTTTTTACTTAAAAATAATTTAAGGACAAAAAACTCCAAGAATAATTTTATAAAATATAATCACTGTAACTAAAATTACTTCTATTTGTATTAACAATAATGTAATGAAATTCAAATCTTAGATTCTCATACTTTAATAGAAATAAAAATATTTGAATTCTTAATTATTATTATTTATCTAAGTGAAATTTATTATATTATTGCAAGGAAAATATAATTGATTCATTTTACTTGTTATAATTATAATTGAATGCTTACTATTTTCCTTTATAGGGTTTAAATCTATTTTAAATTATAAAAGAAAAATAAATTATATTTGTAGTTTGATAAATTTTTTTTAATGATCATCTATGTTTTTAGATAATAATTTTAATGTCTTGTTTGAATTAATAAAAGAATTTAATTATCAATTCTATAAATATGATGAGTTGTATTTATTTATCAATTTCAATGAATACAAATTAAGTTTTAGATATAAAAATGATAAAAGATAAGCTTGAACTTAAATTATTTAAAAAAATTAAATTAAAGAAACAATTTAAAATAGGAGCATCTAAGATTATATATAAAAAGATACAAAAGTATTGCTTAAATAAAATCTAATGATTAATAAAATCTTTAATGTTCAATATTTTTTTTAAACTTTAAGGATTTAAAATTAGTTCAGGTATTAATAATTTAAGATGGAACTATGTAGATTATTTTTTATACTTAAAAGAAATAAATTGATTTATAAATATAGGGTGATTGAAGTAAAAAATTTAATATTATAAAATTAAGAATTAATAAAATATAAATCTTATTGTATTAATATTAAATAGAAATAGAAAGAAATAGATGTTCAATCATGTANAGAAAAAGTAACCTTATTTTTATTATCAAAAATAAACTTAAGAAGTATCTATAGGTGGAACTATTAAATAATATCAAAATTTTGCATTTGCTATTGTATATTAGGCTGGTCATTTAACTTAACTAGATTAACCAGGATCGGCAAATTATTTGTTAAAATACTATTTAGAATTCTGATATCATATTTATTATATTTTAAATTAATTAAATTTCTAATTATTATTATTTTTTACTTAAAAATAATTTAAGGACAAAAAACTCCAAGAATAATTTTATAAAATATAATCACTGTAACTAAAATTACTTCTATTTGTATTAACAATAATGTAATGAAATTCAAATCTTAGATTCTCATACTTTAATAGAAATAAAAATATTTGAATTCTTAATTATTATTATTTATCTAAGTGAAATTTATTATATTATTGCAAGGAAAATATAATTGATTCATTTTACTTGTTATAATTATAATTGAATGCTTACTATTTTCCTTTATAGGGTTTAAATCTATTTTAAATTATAAAAGAAAAATAAATTATATTTGTAGTTTGATAAATTTTTTTTAATGATCATCTATGTTTTTAGATAATAATTTTAATGTCTTGTTTGAATTAATAAAAGAATTTAATTATCAATTCTATAAATATGATGAGTTGTATTTATTTATCAATTTCAATGAATACAAATTAAGTTTTAGATATAAAAATGATAAAAGATAAGCTTGAACTTAAATTATTTAAAAAAATTAAATTAAAGAAACAATTTAAAATAGGAGCATCTAAGATTATATATAAAAAGATACAAAAGTATTGCTTAAATAAAATCTAATGATTAATAAAATCTTTAATGTTCAATATTTTTTTTAAACTTTAAGGATTTAAAATTAGTTCAGGTATTAATAATTTAAGATGGAACTATGTAGATTATTTTTTATACTTAAAAGAAATAAATTGATTTATAAATATAGGGTGATTGAAGTAAAAAATTTAATATTATAAAATTAAGAATTAATAAAATATAAATCTTATTGTATTAATATTAAATAGAAATAGAAAGAAATAGATGTTCAATCATGTATAATGAAATATATGTTTTATATAATAATTTCATAAAAATTTTTTTGGATAAAGATAATAATTATTTATAAGTATTAATAATGAATCAATAATTCTTTGGTAATTCAAGATTGGCAATATAAAGAGCTCAGTAACTTCATTAATTCTTCACTTAGTCAGTGATTTATGATCAATTTAAATATACAGCAAAAATGCCTTAATATCCAAAAATTGTATTTTTGTAATCAAACTAATTCATAAGAAATCTAGTTGAGAAGTATTTAAATTAAAAAATAGTAGATAATTTGTTTAATATTCAATAATAGATGGATAGAAATCAAGTGGAGAAGTAAAATAATAACATATAAAAAGGATGGTGTGGCAAGATTAGCAGAATAAGTATAATTATAATCAACATAATCAAATGGTGCATTATTATTTGGATATCCAAACACTACAGCAGAAGCTGAACGGTATTTGAAAAAAGAATAAAAATAATTTTAGTCTTGATAGATTATTAGATGGAATCAATTTAGCAGTTAGATTCAAATTATCAGAATCATTAGCTTAGAAAATTGCAGGATCATATTTATCATGTTAATCCTGTGGTAAAATTTTCAATACTAGTCTACCATTTATTACACCAACACATCCTGGATATTTAAATAATGTAAATACATATTCATTAAATATTATTAGTGTTAAACACCAAGTAAATGTGCATTAGAATCAAGTTAATCTCCAACTGATTAAGTTAATTCTGAAGTGGTTAATTATTATTAATAGAAAGTAATATTTTATTAATTATCAATAGGGTGCTTATCTTGAATATGAAATTAATGAGGAACATTTATAATATGATTCTTAAGAGTTTTTTGAAAAATTAGATAATGCAGTAGCAACCCATATCAAAGTTTGATATTTTTAAGAAATTAAAATATTAAAATAACATCACATATAACCTTATTCTAAATGTTCAATACTTATATTGATAGGTTGATTTTATTATACAGGACTTGATTTATTTATATCCAATTTGTTTTGTTTTGCAAATCCTTATAAGGTTAGATCTCCCTATTTAGTCTTTAACTCTTTTTTCTCAGAATTTTAATCTTTTCTTTTTAGAATCTTAGAATCACCCTTAATAACTTTTTCATATTATTCAACTTAAATTTTAAATTTTTTTTATTTCATTTCCTCATTCATCATCTTTCTTCTCTATTCTATGATAAATGGAGAATCATTTAAGTTTTATCCCTAATAAATCAAATTCTATCTTCTTAATTCAGTTTAATCTTCTTCAGCTTAATGAGTGTAATATCTTTACATCTTTTTACTGTCAATTTATTCAATAGAATCATAAATTTATTTAAGTTCTGCATAAGAAGTTGGGTTTTCACTTATTTTAATTGAAGGAGCTGCAGGTTTAGTGATTCTTGGTTTTTCAGAATAATCATCATCATCTGATAAAATTGACCAAAAAACTATAGAGATTCCCCCTAAAGCTAATAATCCATAGATTTAATTAGAATTACTCTTCTATTAAGTATATTAATAAGTTCTCTATTGATAAGTATTTTTCTAATTATTATTATTATGCCATTAATTTTATTACTCTCCATTATATTGCCATCCAGGATTATTATGATATTACTTTTCTTAATAAGATTCATTATTAGAGCCATAATTAGATTCACTTCTTGAATTCTATTAGAAATCTATTGATAAATCATATAGTTTCCTTTTAGCAGGGTCTTTTAAAATATTGTATGCATTTGTAATTTCTTTAAATTCTTATTCTTTTTATTCTAAATTTACATCAGGATGATATATTTTAGCCAATTTTATATAGGCAGACTTAATTGTATCAATAGAATCACTAGGTTGTACTCCTAATTTTTAATAGAGTGTTGTGCAAAATGAGAAAGTTTAAAATTTTTTTAGCATTTTAAATTGTTATAATAATTATTGTTTTAAATTTTATTTTATGAGATAGTGAAATCTATTTATTATATTTATATATATTTTTTAACAATATTGAGAGAATCTATTAATATTAATAATTTCTATTCTTTACCATATTAATTTTGTAATATCTCAAATTTAAGAAATTCATAATTCTGATATATTTGAAAATTCATCTGTTACAATAGTTCGTTTATCTCATAGTTTATGATTAAATTTAGATTACCTATTGTTAAATAGAAGGTTTTTATGTGTTCATTCAGAATATAATCATTAATAGGTCTTAAGAAAAGAGTTTTATAAACAACAGAAATTAATATTAGTTTTAACATTATGAAATCTTTAATATTTTTTATTTGTATTAAGAGATTAATGAATTAAAGACCAAAATTCTAATTAGAACATTCATTCATCACCCATCCTTTGCCCTTGTCTTGTTGTATCCTAAATAAATTTGAAACACAGTATTGCAATTTATAATTAAATATAGAATCATTACTGCAGGTTATGATTAAACATGTAAAATATTCAATATTGAAAGTGGAGCAAAACTAAACGAAATGTAAGGACATAGTAATGTAATTTAGTGTATTGAAATTGATTAAAATAAAGAGTATATAATTTTTAATATTGTAGTGATTTAATGGCAACAGGTTCATTTGATCAAACTATAAAATTATGGAGACCAAAATCGGGCATTTGTGTTGAAACTCTTAAAGGTCATGATGCTGAAGTCATGTGTTTATCATTTGGCAACAATAATAAATTGGCTTCTGGCTCTATGGATTCAACTTCTAATATATATGATATTGAAAAATTCAAAATTTTACATACAATTAAAGATCATAAAATTTCAATAGTGGGAGTTAAGTTTCAAGATTCTAATGTATACACTGCTTCCTTTGATGGATAAATTTCAGTATGATACTTGGAATATTATATAATAGGTAAATGATACTAAAACATTTAAGCAAATAATAAAATTATAAGATGAGACAAAAGAGATATTTTAAATGAATATAGATCCAACTGGAAAGTATCTTGGAACAATAAGTGGAAATAAATAATGTAAAATTTGGGATCTTAAGAATCTTTATAAACCTTTACATGTTTTGACTGGACATACTTAAGATTTAACTACCTTCACATTTGATTAATCAGGTACCAGAGTTTTGACGGGATCATAAGATTCAACAGTATTTCTATATGAGACTTCTACTGGTAAGATGACTTAAAGATTTTTTGGGCATACTGATGAAATAGTTAAAGTAGTTTATACTTAGAAACATGAAATACTTACTGCAAGTACTGACAAGACAGCCAGATTATAGTATTATTTTAAAAGTTTATATATAGTACTATAGATGGAGTTTGCTAATAGGTTTTAGAAGGATAAGAAGATGGATTAATGACTTTATTAGTAGATGCAAAAGGAAAGACAGTTATAACAGTAGGTAAAGATTCAACATGTTAAGTGTGGAGATTGTGATATATTTTTATATATAAATGCTAATTTACACAAGCTCAATATATCTGTAATTTTCAATAAAAAATACAATTTTTCTAGTGGAAGTGGGAATGAAGCAAGAAACATAATTATAATACATCATAATCAATTCATTTTCATTATTTTTAGCAGTTTTATTGATTGGAATGGAATTACTAAAGAAATAACCAATCTATGTAAATAGATTAGGTGCCATAATATTATGTTTCCTAAATTTAGAATTGGTGTATTAAGAGATTTCATCTATAAATACAATTTAATTGGTACTATTCATAGTAATAGTAATTACATAATTTGAAGATGAATAGAGATGGCATAAAATAGCAAAACACTCTTTTATATTTTATATATTTTTAAGGACACTTTTACAATTCAAAGATTAATTTAATATAACATAATTAATTACATATGTGTTATGGTAACCTATTAATCATTGGATATTGCATTAAAATAAGTTTATGATTGTAAATCAAATACAAAAATAATCTCTAAATTAGAGTAAAAGTTAATATGATTTGACTCCAAAATTATGCAAAGAGTCTTTAGAATAAGAAGAGTAATGTAGTAGCAATTATTAGATAAGTTCTAAATTGTAATATAACATAAAATAGTTGAAATAGCTTTAAATTAATAATCCATTTTCTTAAATTGTGGATATTGATTAAAAAACTATATCATAATTTTAGAAATAAACTTCAAATTTAGATGTTCCTTAAATTTGGAATTTATTACCTTTTGGAATTGCATTAATCAACAATAAATATGAAATATAAACCTACAATTAAAAATTATTATATTTTTTAAAATTATAAGATAATGATGGAAGAAACATAATATTAAATTTAGATTTGTTATTAGAAAGGTATATCAATTAACATAATAAGTCCTGAATCATGGGAGAGTAAATCCGTAAATTAATTTAGTTCACATTGTAGTAATCGTCAAAGCAAGAGATTTTAAACTAAAAGATAATTGTCCATAATATCTAAAAGTAATTAAGAATAGAGTTAAATTAATCCAGATGTAGGAACTCATTCTCATATTAATGCTAATTTTGCTTATATAGCCAATACAACAAATTAAATTAGGGATGAAATTCTGACGACTAAATCAAGATATCGCAATTTAGATTAATTACTTAAGAAATTTGCATAGAAAGCATATTCTCTAACCAATAATGGAGATTGTTCATTTCAATCTATTGGATAAAATATTCAAATTATAAAAAAAGTATAAGATATTGGTTCTAAAAAATATTACTTTAGAATTAAAGTTTATGAATTAGACACTATAGGAAATAAAATTAATTATTTATTTGTGATAGAAAATATTACAAATAAAGAAGAATTACGTTAATTAAGTGTAAGATACAAATTTTAATAAGTCTTACTAAATTCTTTATGTCATGAATTAAGAACACCAATGAATAGTACCTTATCATAATTGAATGCATTATCATCCTTAATTTAACCATAAATTAGAGATAAGAATCTAATACCAGCCATTATCTCTGCTAAAAAGTTAATGTTTCAATTAAATGATATTTTAGATTATGCTTAAATTGATTGTAAAAATTTTCATTTAGTAAATACTTAATTTGAACTGAGTGAAATATTTGATATTTTAAAAGAACTTTTTGAATAAGAATGCAAAGAGAAAAATTTGTAATTTATTCTTAATTTCTAAAATCTTAAAGATACTTAAGCTATATACAGTGATAAGGAAAGAATTATAAGAATCTTAGCAAATTTAATTGATAATTCAATCAAATTTACTAATGAAGGTGGATCTATTAAAGTTTCTGTTTATCAAGAAAGACATTTTATAATCTTTTGTGTTTTGGATGATGGAGTTGGTATTTCTGATAAAATCTTATAACATATTAAAAACAATAAAGATTTCTAAATGTAGGATTAATTTGATTTTTAATCCTAAACCAAGCTTGGTTTGGGTTTAAAAATTTCTTAATAAATAGCTAAATTTTTATGTGTTGATAAAGAACTAAAAATTGAGAGTAAAGAAAAATTATTCACTAAAATTTAATTCAGGATAGAAAATAATTATAAATATTTAAAACATTTAAAATTTCCTTCATTTTAAGGATGTAATTTTAATATTAATTGTGATTGCATACAAATTTTAAATGTTGATGATGTTAGATTTAATCATAGTGCAATTGAAGCTCTACTTGCTTAACATAAAATTAAAATGGGAAGTGCATATAATGGAGAATAGGCTATTTAAATGGTCAAAAAAAGATTAGAATAAAATTGTTGTAAAACATATAAATTAATATTCATGGATATTGAAATGCCTATTATAAATGGATATTAAGCATCTAAAGAAGTACTTTGATTATATTAACTTAGATAACAGCTATTTTAGATAAACATAATTTAACAGATTAAACTGTTATTGTGATGTGTTCTGCCTATAATGGATATGAAAATAGTAATTTAGCTAAAACTTGTGGAATTAAAGAAGTACTTCCAAAGCCTATTGAATAAAAATAACTGAAACAATTACTTGACAAATATTTATTATGATTATATATTATAATTATTAAATGGAAATACTCATTAAATTATTGATATGGTAATTAATAATTTAAGACATCATTCAAATTGGTTTTATTTGGATTAATACATATTGGTACTATCTTCTATTAAATACTTTGTCTTTAGCAATATGTTTATTGATAATAATCATTGATTTTTATAAAAAGTCAAGAATTTATATTAAGGTAGGTCTAAATTTATTATGTGTAATCAATTACGAAACTTTGTTTTAGCAACCTCTTAACATTGCTAATGTTATTTAACTATTCTATTTATTACTGATTTTGTTTACAATTTATGATAATACAATCTCAACAAAAGTTATCATACATCTTGTATTAATTTACATGACAGTTAGAGCTATAACAAATGAATCAGATTATAAAATTCATTATTTAATATTGATTTTATTCTTATAACCTCTAAATCATTACATATTTTATACAGTGAAGAAAAAATAATGTTCACAGTAAATTTAAACTTAAAATAAATAGAAATTCATAATCTAGCAAACTTCAAAAGAGGATGTATAATGTCTTTCTAATGATAGTAAGGCAGAGAATTTAAAATCTGAAATAAATGAAAGTGTAATTGTTAATATAAACAATTATGATTTAGAATTTCCAAAAACATAATAAGAACATAAATCAATTAGTATAAATAAAGAAACTATATAAGAAAGAGTGATCATTAAAAAATAGCCTTTAAATATGTAAAAAACAACGACGAATTCTTCTCATTCATTAAGATAAGATCATTTAAAATTAGAAACTCATATGGATTCAAAATACTCAGATTTAGTTGCTATAATGAGTAAACTTCCATTTGGTATAATTTTCGTTGATCAACAGTTAAGCATTTTAGATTATAATTAAAAAGTCCTTTAATTATTAGGAATTACAAATCCAGATAATATAATTTCATTTTTAGATGAAGCATTATAAAAGTATATTATTTAATTAATTAGAAAAGAAGTGCAGAAATTTAAGAAATTCGTTCTTCGAAAAAAATTTAAAGATCTATGAATAAATCAAGAAAAAAATTGTCACTCTTCCAATAGGTTTCCATAAACATTTAAAAAAGATAATTCGATGAATAGATTCCAGATGTAGTTTCTCAATATTTTAATTTTGGATCTTAACCAAAATTGGATAATGAAAGTTAGTAGGAAGGAAATATAAAATCAATTTTTCATTAATTTTAGAAAATTCATTAAAGCTAATAAACATCAGCTTCTAGGGAAACATTTTAATTTATTTTAGAATTAGATTCAATGTATGGTTCTTAATGCAAGTCTAAGTATAAAAGTTTAAAACTAAAGATTTTTTAAGTAGATGGAGATTCAGAATGGGAATCACATGTTTATTTATTTGTATTAGAAAATATTACAAAAAGAGAAGAATTTAAATTACTAAATCATAAATATAAATTCCAATAAGCTCTCTTAAATTCATTATGTCATGAATTAAGAACTCCAATAAATTGTGTTATTTCTTCACTATTTTCACTAAAAGATGAATTAAATGCTGAATTATTAGAATCACATCTAAATCCTGCAATTGTTTCAACAAAGAGATTAGAATACTAATTAAATGATATTTTAGATTATGCTTAAATCCAATGTAAAGCATTGAATCTTAATAAATCTTGTTTTTTATTAGAGGAAATATTTTAATAATTAAAAGAGCTATTTTATTTTGAATGTATTTAAAAACAAATCTAGTTAATAATAGAAGATGATCATTAAATTAGATTATATACAGATAAAGAACGATTATTAAGAGTTCTTATCAATTTAATTGATAATTCTGTAAAATTTACAAATAAAGGAGGAATGATTAAAGTATCATCAGAAGTATATTAAGATCAAATTAATTTAATTGTTTTTGATAATGGATAAGGTATTAAAGGTGAAATTGTTGAATTAATTGAAGAGGAAGCAGAAATTTTATTTTAAGACTCAATTTAATATAATTCAACTAAATTAGGTTTAGGATTAAGAATATCAATGTTGCTTTCAAAATATTTATATAAAGAGTAAAAATTCTAAATAGATTCAAAATTTAATTAATACACAAAGATAAGTTTTAGATTATCAAAATTAATTGAAAATTGTTAATTAGATTTTTAGATGGTTGGATAAAAATCTTAGCCTGAAAAACACTGTGATTGTAGTAAAATATTGATTGTTGATGATATAATTTGTAATCACTTTGCTCTTTAAGTTTTATTAAAGAAATTTAAATTGAAAACTGATAGTGCTTACAATGGAGATTCAGCTATTGAATTAGTCGAATAGAGATTGAAATAAAAATGTTGCTAAACTTATAGACTTATTTTTATGGATATTGAAATGCCATAAAAAAATGGATTTTAAGCATCTTCGGAAGTATTTAATAATTTCATCCATTTAGATATCATAAAAATTAAAATCAAAATCTCTTAATGATGAATGCATAATTGCTATGTATTCTGCTTATTCTGGGGATGAAGATGTTGTAATAGCAAAGGAATGTGGAATGAAAGAACGAATTTCAAAACCTACAGATATTTAAAAGCTAGAGTACATTATAAATAAGTATTTACTTTGACAATTATATAATCTCATATATAAAGTAAATTTGGTATTCAAAAAATGAAAGTTAACTAATTTATATAAAATGCGAAAAGAAAATTAGATGAAATTGCGCTATGAATCTATTATGTATTTAATTCATAAAGCAATTACATTTCATTCGTTAAATTCTTGAAAAATTCATTCCAATTTTCTTTTATATAGATGAATTCTATTTTTATTATATTTTCTAATTATTGATTAACTTATTTCATGTACTGTTTTCTTAATTTTCAAGATCTTATTTTATAAGACTCTTTTTTTAACAAATAGAGGATTTCAATTTCTGATGAAATTTGGTAATTGGTTTTCTATCTTCATCAATTTTTTAACAAATTTAAAAAATTAATTCTAAATCTGTTCCTAACATTTATATCAGTTATGAATTTAGAGTTTCAGATTAGGATTCACATTTCTTTTTTACAATCTCATCATATGCCTAAATTTGTAATACAATTTTACATTATATATTTATTAATACACATAATTATTAAGAGGTTGAGGGATAAAACTTGATCTTTTTTTAGTTCTTATTGATTCATGGTTTTTTCCATTTTAATTCTTTCTTTTCAACTTCATCATCATTTTCGTATAAACTAACATATCTCCTTTACTTAAAGATATATTAATATATTTGTACTTATCTTATGGTGTTTTGATCTAGCTTTCTACGAAATTTCTATCTATTTTAAGATCTTCATCTTCTAATGTTATCAATGGTTTAGGGGTAAAATTAAACATGACCAATTATTTTGGAGTTAGAAGTACTTCTTTCAATTTATCAATTTCATTCAATCTCGTTAGAAGAGAATAAATATCTTATTATTGAATAATCTAATCACTAAAAATTAATAATAGGATTACTATGCTTTATTCATTAATTTAACTTTTGGAATATCTCTAAATAATTTATTGCATGTGATAAAATTAAGAAAAATATGACAATCTAAATTTATTGGTTTTTTTTTCTCAAATATTTTTTACAATTAGTTTTAAAAATAATCTAATCCGGATTAACAACATAATTTGGTAGTTAATTCTAAAATAAAAAAATTAATTAACTTAAATCTTATTTAAATGGTTGAGTTTAACTATCAGAGAGAATAATGTTTTCATCTGTAATTAAAGCCTTTTAATTAGGTAGAAATAATTTAGAATTTTAAACAATGTTGCCATTAAGTTGAGTTTCTGTTAGAATTTTAAGATTATCTTAATAAATTTTCTTTTGATCTGAATCATCTATACTAAAATCATATAATTTATTTCCCAATTCAACCATATCTATAAGTAAATATAAGAAATACAATTGATTCGATTATAAATAGTGACTAGTAATCCAATAAAAAAAGAGAAAATTTATAAAATACCTCCAATATTGGAGAGTAATTCATCTAGTTTTTGATATTGTCTTTAAAATTTAGTTTTAAAAGGTTTTTTACGAAGAAGCAATTTAACATAAGAGTCTTCATACATTTCAAAATAATCTTATTAAACATCACTAGAGTCTAATAAAAAAACTGAAGTTTCCTCAATAAGGCTAAAAGGGAAAATAATTATATACCTTATAGGTAGTAGACTTTCATCGTTAAGAAAATCATATTTGGTTACGAAAGCATTAACAGACTTAGTTAAATTGAGGTTAAATGTAAAGGAAAATGAATCATCTAAAAAGGGTTGGATATAAGAATCTTTTGGTTTATATGGGTTTATAATCTATTAGAATATGTGATATACTTAATTAACTGTAAATAATTTAATTTTAAAAGTATGTTGAGAAGGTAAACGACATATTGGTTACCAAATATTGGATGAATTATTTTAGCATTTTAAAACAGAGAGGTCAATAAAGTGGAATAAAGTACCTAAGAATTTAAATGAAAATGAAATTTACTTGATTAGGTTCCTCCAAGATGAATTTCAGTATTTATCCTAAAAGTTTGAAATCAATAAAATACTATGGACAGAGAAAATCCGATAATCGAAGTTATTAAAATTATTAAGTGAAATTGACATCATTTTGCTAAAAAATTTAATAAAAACGATCTAGCGTACATGGAACTAATTCTAAAGATTCACTCTTTTTTTCAAGATCCCCTTATGGATTTCGATAGTAAGTTCTATAATGTAAATAGAAGGATTACTTTTACTATAAAGTAATATTAAAATATGGGTTTTGGATAAAGTTTTCTTATTCAATCTAAACTGCAAAAAAGAAATTTGAGTTATTAAAAGCAATATTATCGACTTCATCATCATACTCTGATATTGAAATAACCTTTAATGACTCTTTTTGTATAAATGTAATGAAATTAGTGATGAATATGAGGATCATTATTGCCATGACACCAATAGAAGCACAGCCACCCATAACAGTTTTATAATATGCTTATTTATTCATTCGTAAAAAGACCATTTATCCAAAAATGTCCATTTTAGCAATACCTTTAATAATCTATAATAAAGAACCTGATAATACTGAAACCATAGAATAATTAATTATGTTATTTTTTATAATATTCATAACCCTATTAGACGTAAGCATAAGCTTAATTTATTCTAAAGATTAGACAAGTATTTTTGTTAAAAAATTAGATTTCTATAAAAACTTACTTCCATCAGTTAATTATTACATAGAGACAGGATATGTAAGTGTAGGAGATTTAACAAAATATGAAAATAGATTGTTTTATTCACTTTATTTGAAAGAAACAATAACAAAGAAGACAGAAATCAAACCAGATGATGAATTTATTGTTTGGATTTATGGTGGTCCAGGTTGTTCATCTTAAGATAGTAATTTTAATGAAAATGGACCTATAAGAGTAGATGATGATCAAAAATTGCATGCAAGAGTATTTGTGATATATATACTAATAAGGAAACATCATGGAATAAATTAGCTCATCTAATGTACATTGATTAACCATTTTATACAGGAATGAGTTATTCAACTAAAGAAGGATTAATAACAAATAGTTGGGATGCAGCAGATTATGTTATAGAATTATTGACTTAATATTTTTAATAAAACAAGGAACTTGCAAAAGCAAGATTGCATATTTGGGGAGAAAGCTATGGTGGTCATTATATACCTGTATTAGCTGAAAAAATTAAAAAATAAACTTAATTTAATTTAGTAGGAATTGGAATAGGTGGATCTTGGTCTCATCCAAAAGTTTAAGTTTTACCTACAGTCCAATAATTATTAAATTATGGAGTTATTGATTAGTATCGATACAATTTAATGATGAAATCTGGAATTGAATCATTGGATGCAATTGATAATAAAGAATTTGAGAAGTTTTTAATTATGAGTGATGAAGAAATATTTTTTAATGATATTATTGGACCCAATTTCAGATATAATATATAATACTATGATTATGATGATGGAGAATAATATGAAGATTTTATAAATAATCATAAATAATAATTTGATCTTCCAGAGAACATAACTTTTTATGGATGTAATTAAGATATTTATATGGCTTTTGCTGAAGATCAAACTATTTCAGTTCTTCCTTAAATTGATTATCTACTTCAATAAGAAATTAAAGTTTTTGTATTTTAAGGTTAATTGGATACTGTTGTCTCTCTTAATGGAGTAGAATATTGGGTAAATCTATTAAAATGGAAGGATCTTCCACTCTGGAAGAAATAAAAAAAATCATCTTGGAAATTTATAAATCCAAAAACAAAAATGGAAGAAACTGCTGGTACAATTAAATCATATAAATAATTACATTTTTGTATGGTTTATAATGCTGGACATATGACACCCACTGATTAGCCAGAAGCATCATTTTAAATGTTAAAGAATTATTTTAACATTTGAGAGTTATTGAGAGATATTGATTATTATTGATTTCATTTTATGAAAAAGGAAAGAAAAGTTAAAGTAATATTAATTAATAAATACGTACAACGTTATTCATTTCATTTATTACTAATTTATTTAATAAATTTGTATGATAAATCAGTGCAGTAAGAAATCTTTCTTCTCTTGCTTTTAAATGAAATGGCAACCTTTAACTTTAAGATCTTTTGAAATCTAAGAAGTATTCCAAATAATTACAAATTTAAAAGGAAAATGTTAAAAAGCACATCTTAAATTGTATAAATAGTTTTTATGCATAAATGATGTAATCAATATGATCATAATAACATAGAAAGAATAATTGGATGTTTCAAATTATTAGATTTCTAAAGTAGAAAATAAAATTTTAGGATAAGGAATCAGATTATAATCAATTGAATTTTCACTTGAATTTTATGGTTCCATAGATAAATGGTTTGAATATTTAAAACTATATTGTATCTAAACAAATTTTACTTAAAAATACTAGGTTCAAAAATTAGTTGGAGCAGGAACCTATGGCAAAGTAATTGTTATAAATATCTTATAGGTTTATCGTGTAAAGAACAAGATTGATTATAATATATATGCTGTAAAGACCTTTGAGAAATAACTTATAAATTCCCTTGATGATTAAGAAGGTTTAGTAAAGGAAATTGGATTATTACGAAGTTTAGATCATCGAGGAATAATAAAACTTCATGAAGTATATGAAAGTGAGTAATTCGTTTTTTTGGTTTTTGAATTTTTATAGAATAAGAACCTTAATGATACACTTGAGAAGGGAGTTTCTCTTGGAGAATCCTAAGCGTATAATATTATAAAAGATCTTCTCGAGACAGTATTATATATTCATGAGTAAGGTATTTTACATAGAGATTTAAAACCAGATAATATATTATAGAGAAATGAAACTTAAAAATATGTTATTATAGATTTTGGATTAGCTGACAATTATAGAGAAGATGGATAATACTTATTTAAAAAATGTGGAACTCCAGGATATTGTGCACCAGAAATCTTATGGAATCAAATTTATGATTAAAAGGTAGATATCTATAGTCTTGGAGTAATTCTATATGAGATGTTAACAGGATAAAATCCCTTTTATTCTAAAAATTATGATGAGAGAATTATGCTTAATAAAGAGTCTAAATTTGATTACAGTAAAGTTAAAGTTTCTTATAATGCTCTTGATTTATTATAAGGAATGCTTCACAAAAATCCTTAAAAACGTTTTAGTGCTAAAGAAGCTTTGAATCATCGTTATTTCTAATAATAAAAATAACATCATCATGTACAATCACTTTCCCAATTATCTGATACACTTATGAACACTGGTAATTAGATTTCATCACCTAGATAAGAGGCTTATACTAACTTTTTTGAAATCGGTTAATCCTCAAATAGACAAACTAGACATCTATATTCTCCAAAATTAAGTCAAAGATTTGATGAATTAGATAAGGAAATATTACATCATCATAACGTTTATAGTTGTCATATTTCTAATTTGAAATGTGTTGCATAAAATATTAACCATGATCAAATTTTGTAGAAACTTATAAAGAAATACTAAAAGGTTTGATTTTAATCTATTTTAATATAAAGTCTTAACTTGACTTTTTATATTGTATAATTTATAATAACAATTTAATGTTTTATGAATATGATCCTATTGATCAGGACACCTTAAGAAGAGATAATTAACTAAATGGCTTATTGACCAAAATTCGGGAAGATGTTATGAAAGGTTATGTTATTGAGGTTAAAACAAGGACTCACACTTATCATTAAGTAAAAGTATTGTTCAAATTAGTTAGAAAATAATTCAAAGTAAACTTCAGGAGTCTCCTCCAAAAACAATTCTTTAATCAAAGATCCTGGATCTAATTTAAATGAAATCAATAAAATTAAAGACTTAGATGAAATTATTCTCTCATCATAAAGAGATAATCAATAAATTATTCGATTGACTAATCCATTAAGTTAAAATCCTCCAAAAGTTAAGAGCGAAATTGTTAAACCTATTGTCTTTGATAATCATTTACAATCTGAACAAACATTGTTATCATTTCCAAGCAAACCAGATATAGTTTATCATCCTAATAATATCAATTAACAATTAGATTATATTGAAGCCTCATTAGAATTAGGAAATTATATTGAATTTATTAAAATACTCAAAAAAATTTAAAAAGAAATTTAAGAATCCATGGAAAAAAACATTTATTCCAACAATTTATTAATAGCTAATGGTATTCAAATGATTAGAGTATTATGCTTATTAACCAGATTTTATAAACAAATCTTTAATTTTTCTGATGCCATTAAATCATTAAAACAAATTAAAAAAATGTTTAAAATTTCAGATCCTAATTTAATAGGATAATTATAAATAGAATTAGGAAAGTTATTATTTCTCAATCAATAATATAATCTTTCCTAAAAAACCTTTTATGAAGCACTTTTACATTATGAATAATTACAATGGAAAAAAGAAATTGCTAATATTTTATTATGGATGGCTAGATTAAATTCTTGGACAAGTAATTTATTTAAAAATAATATTTTAGAAAATTTTGAACCTGCTAAAAAAATGATTTATGGAGCTATTTCTATTTTAAAAGAGTATCTTCCAGATGATGATGAACAAATTGCAGAAGCTTATGTTGTTTTAGGAGAAAATAGTTATATAGCCAAAAATTCAGATTAAGCATTAGAATTTTTAATGAAAGCAATATAGATAAAGTTTAAGAAACATAAAACATATAAACATATTAAATTCGTAGAAGCTTACAATTTGGTAGCCTTGACTTATGGATTAGTTCCAGATATATAATAATCTCTTAGTTACTTTATATAAGCCTTATAATGTTTTTAGTATTCAATATTAATAATATAGATGTAACTGTATACAGCGAGCTTAAATTCTCAATAATCTTGCTGTGATTTATTAATCATTAGGTAATGTTGAAAAGGCTTAAAAATGTCACTAAAGAGCTAAAGAAATCTATGATTCATATTTACCAGATAAGCATCTTTAAATGGAGAGATTACTCTTAAATTAAACTTTTCTATTTTCAAAATGATTTGTTTAATGAATATATTTATTTATTTAATTTAATTTAGTTTATAAAACTTTATTATAAATTTTAAACAATCTAAAAATGAAATAATAAATTCAGAAGCATTTTCTGTGTACATAACCTGTACCATAATCTTGATATTCATTTTTAGTAATAAACATAGGCTAAAATTAACTTAAGGAAGCCAAAATACTGCCTCCCATCCAAACTGAATATTTTCTTTCAGGAGGTTCTTATACATAAATTTTCATTGTCGAAGGAGCTAATGCGATAACTTCTTTTTATAATCTATCCTTCATTCCTTTAAACATAGTACTACCTCCAGCTAAAACGATATTACCATAGAGATCCTATTTATAAATCAAATCATTTACTTTTTTAATATCAACATCACATTTCATAATTGATTAAAATGTTAATTCATGAATTCCTTAGAATTCTTTGCTTAATTTTATTGGTTGAAATAATGCTTCAGGACATTTAAATAGTTAACTACCCAAAGTGATATCATTTCCATCAGGCATTCTATGAACTATTTCTTTACCTTAATCTTGATAAGTTTTCATTTCAGCTTCAAAATCTCCAACAATATAGCACTAAAAGATTAGAAGGAAGGTGATATACTTTTTTTTCTTTAGTATCTTTGGCATTTTCTCTTTCAGTTTCTTTTTGATTAGAGAACTCTTTGCCTTATTCTGCCATAAGTTTAATAAGATAATCAGTTAAATCTCTTCCAGCAAGATTAATCTTCATAACTGCATGTGATAGAGCAAAGCCTTCATAAATTGGAACAGTTTCTGTAACAGCATCTCCAGAATCTACAACTAAACCAGTTGTTTTTCCAGATGCACATAAAGCAAGAACTTATTAAATAGCAAGATAAAATGAGGGAACATTGAATTTTTCAAACATGATTTCCATCATTTTTTCCCTATTTGATGCAGGATTGAGGGGTGGTTCAGACATCAAAACAGGATGATCTTAAGGTGAAACTCTTAATTCTAATATGAATGGAATGAGAAACCATTATAATAAGCATGATGCCAAATCTTTTCCATATCATCCCAACGAGTAATGATTCCATGATCAATAGGATAAGTTACATTCAAAACTCTAGATTATAATGAAATAGAAATACTCTAATTTAGAATTGACCTCATCTCCAATATAGGTATCCTTTTGATCCATACCGACCATTTGTCCAGGTTATTTAGGTCTTTGAGAATAAATAAGGATGAAATATACTTTCCCAGAACTGTTTATATGGTAGCTCTTGGAGCATCATCTCCTGAAATACCTGCTTTAATATATCCAGATCCATTGTCTATAACAACAACAGGGATTACGTCGTCCATTTTAATTAATAATATTTATAGATGTGGATAATGGGGATTTGTTTATATAATTAAATTTAAATATGAAGCTGAAGAGGTTTTTGTTGAGATATTATCCTCCTGGGATAATTTTAGAATATATTCGAAGCAACGGAGAATAGGAGACTAAATCTATAGATTTGTTAAATCTTAGCAATGAGTAATGATTAATATATATGAATAGCACTGATGTAGATTAATTGGTTGATGAAATTGTGATGGAGGAACCTATCATATCAGAAAACAGAAAGCCATAACTAGCAGCATTAATTCGCAGTATAAACACAATTAATATAGAACTAATTGAGAAGATAGAATCAAAAAAGGAACAATCATTTGAGTTGTTTAAGACACTGAAAGCACATATGTTGCCATTAACAAATTGCGCATTTAATAAAAATGGTGATAAGTATTGATTCCACTATGTAGATTCATTACAGGTAGTTATGATAGAACTTGTAAAGTATGGGACACTTTCACAGGAGAATAATTAGTCTCCTTGGAAGGCCACAAAAATGTGGTATATTGTATTGCATTCAATAATCCTTTTGGGTATGTTACAATCATCAATCATTATAGAGATCGTGTAGTCACAGGTTCATTTGATAAAACTGCTAAAATTTGGGATGCTACTTCAGGAAAGTGTCTTTAAACTCTTGTAGGTCATCAATATGAAATTGTATGCATTTCATTTGATCCTCATTCCCTACTTGTAGCTACAGGATCAATGGATAAAACTGCAAGATTATGGGATGTTGAATCAGGCAAATAAGTAGCCAGATTAGATGGACATGAAGGTGAAATTGTTAGTTTGCATTTTAATTCTGATGGTGATAAACTACTTACAGGTTCCTTTGATAAAACTGCTATGGTAAATATTCTTTAATAAATCTAGATTTGGGATGTAAGATCAGGAGAATGTATTCATATTTTAGATGAACATACAGGTGAAATCTCTAGTACTTAGTTTGAATTTACAGGAGATTACTGCGCTACTGGATCTATAGATAAGTAATCCTTTATATTTCATATTTAGAACTTGTAAAATATGGGATATTAAAACTGGAAAATGTATCGAAACACTTAGAGGACATCAAGATGAAGTTCAAGATATCTGCTTCAATTCTACAGGTTTCTATTATTTATTTATTATCCTAAGGAACTAGATTAGTAACTGTCTCTGCTGATGCAACTGGCAGACTCTACAATGTCCATTCTGGATAATGTATTGCTTAACTCTTAGGACATAAAGGAGAAATCTCTAAAGTTGNTATAATTAAATTTAAATATGAAGCTGAAGAGGTTTTTGTTGAGATATTATCCTCCTGGGATAATTTTAGAATATATTCGAAGCAACGGAGAATAGGAGACTAAATCTATAGATTTGTTAAATCTTAGCAATGAGTAATGATTAATATATATGAATAGCACTGATGTAGATTAATTGGTTGATGAAATTGTGATGGAGGAACCTATCATATCAGAAAACAGAAAGCCATAACTAGCAGCATTAATTCGCAGTATAAACACAATTAATATAGAACTAATTGAGAAGATAGAATCAAAAAAGGAACAATCATTTGAGTTGTTTAAGACACTGAAAGCACATATGTTGCCATTAACAAATTGCGCATTTAATAAAAATGGTGATAAGTATTGATTCCACTATGTAGATTCATTACAGGTAGTTATGATAGAACTTGTAAAGTATGGGACACTTTCACAGGAGAATAATTAGTCTCCTTGGAAGGCCACAAAAATGTGGTATATTGTATTGCATTCAATAATCCTTTTGGGTATGTTACAATCATCAATCATTATAGAGATCGTGTAGTCACAGGTTCATTTGATAAAACTGCTAAAATTTGGGATGCTACTTCAGGAAAGTGTCTTTAAACTCTTGTAGGTCATCAATATGAAATTGTATGCATTTCATTTGATCCTCATTCCCTACTTGTAGCTACAGGATCAATGGATAAAACTGCAAGATTATGGGATGTTGAATCAGGCAAATAAGTAGCCAGATTAGATGGACATGAAGGTGAAATTGTTAGTTTGCATTTTAATTCTGATGGTGATAAACTACTTACAGGTTCCTTTGATAAAACTGCTATGGTAAATATTCTTTAATAAATCTAGATTTGGGATGTAAGATCAGGAGAATGTATTCATATTTTAGATGAACATACAGGTGAAATCTCTAGTACTTAGTTTGAATTTACAGGAGATTACTGCGCTACTGGATCTATAGATAAGTAATCCTTTATATTTCATATTTAGAACTTGTAAAATATGGGATATTAAAACTGGAAAATGTATCGAAACACTTAGAGGACATCAAGATGAAGTTCAAGATATCTGCTTCAATTCTACAGGTTTCTATTATTTATTTATTATCCTAAGGAACTAGATTAGTAACTGTCTCTGCTGATGCAACTGGCAGACTCTACAATGTCCATTCTGGATAATGTATTGCTTAACTCTTAGGACATAAAGGAGAAATCTCTAAAGTTGCATTTAATCCATCTGGAAATAAAATTATCACTGCCAGTGCAGATAATACTTCTAGAATTTTGTAATCTTTATATTTAATCCTATCAGCTCAGAAACTGGAGAGTGTCTTCAAGTCTTATAAGGTCATACTGATGAAATATTTAGTTGTGCATTTAATTATGAAGGAGATATCATTATCACCGGATCTAAAGATAACACATGCAAAATTTGGAAAGAACTTAATCTTTAGGTTAAAAAATGACTCTTTCCATATATCTATATATATTAATATATATCAAACCATATCTATAGATGCGATATATTTTCCTATCGCATCTCATTTACTTCATATTTCTATTATCATCTATTATATACTTCTTTTGGCTATTTTTCATTTTATTTCATTTCTTAATAACTATCTAATCTAATTTTTATTTCCTATTTTATGTCAACATAGATTCTATCAATCCATATCAATATTATATATTTCAAATCAAATTAAGTATTTTTTTTTCATTTAATATAATATCAAATTAATTAAATAAGTTTACTAATTTATTTTACAATTAGAATTTTCTACTTATTTTAGATCCTCTCTATTGCTTTCATTTATTAAATTTATTTATATTTTATAAATTTCACTTAAATTTAAACATAATTTGATATCTTGCTTGAACCTGAGATCACATAAAATATTAGAATTTCAAACCATTTTAAAAAACTAAATTACAAAAATTTTAAACTACAATAACAAGCTTTATATAAAAAATAGAAATTATTTATCCTTTAAATCATTAAAATTAATGATATTTATGAGTTTTTTAAATACTTAAAATCATATTAATCATAAACAATCATCAATAAATTTCTCTCAAATTTAATGTCATTGGAAATACATTAGTTCTTAAAATAATTATCATTATAGGTTTTAATAGTTTTAATAATGTAGATGATAATAGGAAAACAGCCTCAGAAAGGCTTTAAATTTGGAAAAACTTTAAAATGTTATTTTCTTAATTATTCATCAAATGCTTTAATTTTTAATATAAAAGAATCTATATTGTCTAAAATTGCGTGACTATTTCAGAATTTTAAGATAAATATTCTGTTATTATAAAATTGAAGTTTATAATTAATTAAATTATAAATGGAGGACACTATTTAAGAATCCGCTTATTTACTCAGCATCGCATATCTACTATTAGGATTAATATTTATTTTGCTGGCATTATATAGTATAATTTGTCTTTGGAAAGCTTGGAAATGTCGGTAATTTTTTCCAAAGATCTTTTATTTGTTTATTTTAGCAATTTGTTGTGACTAAGCAACATATTAGCTTTTATATTTATATGAAGTATTTAGAACTTATTTAAAAGGTCATCACAGCAATAAAGCAAGAAAAAGATGAGAACTCATAATCAGAGTCATTCCGAATAATTTTTTTTCAAACAATTTATGTTCCAGATGCAATTTTTTTTGTGATTTATTTTTCATTATTTTGGCAATTCTTGATAATGATGCATCATGGTAGAATAAGAACTGGAAGTATTTCAGTTGGTATAAAAATTTATTAAAATTAGGTAAAAGAAACTGGAATCCTGAGCAAGCAAATTCAAAAGTTCGTATAATATTATATTTATATATAATTGGTTAAGGAATTGTTATTTGGTAATTTTTGGCTTAAGAACTATCACCTAAAGCTATAATGTTTTGTGATATAGCTGTTAATGCTTCTGTACCGATAATTGTAGTAACTATGGTTTTGTACTTAAATATTAAATTTTCTGGATCACCTTTTGTTTCTAATCGTTATGAAAGAAGTAATAATAAAATACAATAACTGTTATGGATTTGGATTTTGTTAAGAATTCCTTAATTAGTTGTTAATGTAGTTGTTGTTATTTATAATGATGATTTAATAGCATTGATGAGTGGAAAATTAAAAGTAACTTTTATTGAATAATTATTATTAATTTTGTTTATAGTTGGAGATATTATTATTGTTTAAATTATTCCTGTTTTGATGGCAATGTCTAATAGTTTTTTAAGAGCATTATTAGTTGATTACTCTAAAATTAATTAACTTTTTAGTGTGGAAAATTTATCAGGGGAATCAAATGTTTCATAAATAGAACAAGGGAAAATCTCTCTTTAAAATAATTTTAGAGATATTTCTGTCTTTAATGGATTATAATTAAGTGACTTACAAATTAAAGAGCGATAATAATAATTATTTAGGAAAAATAATGGCTTAGGTGAAATAAAAATTGCTACAATAAAAAACAATACTAAAAAATACACAATTAGAGTTATTTAATTTAAAGAATTGAGTTCATTTTTAATAGATGAAACAAAACAAGAAATAGCTTAAATTAATTAAATCAAAAAAGGTTATAAAATCCTTTGGTTTGATTTTAGTGAATGTAATATGTACCTTTTATCAAAATTCTACTCGAATTCAAATTTAAATAATTTTATTCATTAAAATACTAGCACTGGTAATAATGTACAATTCTAAGATATCACAATTTCTTATACAAATAAATAAATATTGATGAGACTTAATATAGCTACAGATTTAATTAAAGCAATTTAGAATTTACATGATTAAAATATTATTCATGGACATCTAAATTCTAATAATGTTTTATTTTCTACTAAATTCAAAATTAAAATTGTAGATTATGGACTAAGAGCTATTAAAAAATATGCTAGTTTAGTAAATGGATATTCTAATAAGAATGGATTTACAGCACCTGAATGTTTGAATGATAAAGGAAATGTAGTTTCTCAATCAGCCATAAAAGAATCAGATATTTATTCATATGGAATGATACTCTATCAATTATTTACTGAAACAATACCATTTTATGTAATTATCTAATTTAAAATAGAACATACCTCAAAAAGATATTGTTCAACTAGTTAAGGAATAATAATCAAGACCAAAAATACCTGAATCTCTTAATTCAAATATTGCGACTTTAATAAGATGTTGTTGGTAATAAGATTCTCTTAAAAGACCTAATATCAATTAGATTCTAACGACCTTGAAATAAATATAAGCAAACTTAGAATGAAAACTTATTTATTTATATATTATATTCATCTAAAATTGATTTTTAATTTCAAGTATTCAAAACAACAAGTATGGATATATTCTTTAATTAGGATTGAACAATTTAAAAACGAAATTTTTTAAAGAATATATAATATTCTCTTTTCCATAATTTATTTTCATTTTATTATAATTAATTTTTACTAAAGGTATAATTAAAATGAAATTGCTTTCTGAATTTGCTTTATTGAATATCGGAAATTTAATCTGTTGCCTTGGTTTATCATTAATAGCTCCATTTTATCCTACTTATGCTGAAAAATTTTAGGTAACAGGATCATTATTAGGACTCATTTTTGCAATTAATCCAATTGGAGGTATATTATCTTCATTAATTGTTGGAAAAATTCTAAATAATGTAAATATTACTTAACTATACAAAGAACAATCAAACTAATCTTTTATCATTAGGTATGCTTATACAATCGATAGGAATGTTTTGTTATCCATTATTAACTCTCACTTCAAATAGAACATTATTTATTATCATTTCATTATTGGGAAGATTTATTAGTGGATTTGTAAATTATTATTTTTAACTATATAGGGAACTTAAACTTTTTTGACACCACTTTATGCAGCAATACCATAAAAATATCCAAATTCAGTTGATTAAAAAATGGCTATTGCTGAATTTTTTTCTTCTTTTGGATTTCTTTGTGGACCAGTAATTGGTTCAATTTTATACACATTAGGTGGATTTTCATTTCCATTTATACTTTTTGCTTGCTGTTCTGCAATCATAGCCATAATTTTAAAATTAAACATTGGTAAAATTCAAAAGAATACAATTGTTGTTTCTCAAACTGAATCAATTTTAAAAGAAGAAGAATACAACATAAATTATGTACCTGAGTCTATATTTGAAAACGATTAAATTGAAACTTCTATTGGTTATACTAGTATAATTAAATTATTCCCAGTAGTTTCATCATTATTAGTAATGTTGGCTTTATGTATTACTTTTACATTTTACTCTCCAATATATTCTCTCTATTTTGAAGAATAATTTAATGTTACACCAGAAAATTTAGGATATTATATATCAGCAGCACCATTAGCATATAGTATTGGAGCATTGATAATATCTAAAATGTCATTTAATAAAAAAAGAGCTATATTTTTTGGAATAATGTTAGTCACAATTTCATAGTTTTTTATGGGTCCAGATCCTATTTTTCATATTGATCCAAGAATTTATATCACAGTTAGCGCTTAATTTAATTTTGGATTGTTTTCAGCTCCTCCTTATATATTAATTTTACCATATATTACTGAAAAATTGGAATAGAAATTTTAAAAACCAGATCATTAAAAATGTATATCATTAGCATCAGGATTGTTTAATGCTGTTATATCAACTGGAGAATGCTTAGGTCCTATATTCTCAGGAATGATGGCTGAATTCTTTTCATTTCAAAGATCATGCAGTTTGTTAGGCTTATATTTAGTTGCTACAACTTTACTTTTTGTTCCAAATTTACTAGAATAAAAGAAAGAAACTTAATAAGATAAATAAAAATATTGCTCATAATATTTATGATTTAGTGATTTGATTTTGTTTATGTTCTTAATAAATATTCCATAATGACTTTAAAAAATGTCTAATAATTTTATTAAATATTAGAAATAGTTCAGATCATTAAATTCTGTTTCTTATTATGAATATAAAATAACTACTATTTAACGGAAGAGGATATATATCTATTAAATTGATACTTTAGTTAGGACAACTTATTTTTTTTTTATAACTAATATTATTTTTCTTAATAGAATTAGAAAAGCCTGAAAGCAGATGTAAGTCGTGATAAATTAGATTGAATACACAGATGTTCATTTAATTAGTTAAGGTTAAGAAGGTTAATTATACACTGCAAAATCATAAAATGAAATAGTAGTTCTAAAAAAATCATCACTTTAAGCAAAGGAGTTATTGATTTTAGAAAACTTAAAATCTAAGCCGCCTAAAAATTTTGCTAAAATAATTGATTTTGATAGGAAAGCATATATTGTGATGGAAAAAGGAGATGGAACTTTAACGGGTTTATTATTAAGTTAGGATTACAAATAATTAAAGTTATTATAAAAACTTAAATTATTTGAATAAATTGTAAATGGTATCTGTGAACTTCATGCTAGGAAATTAATTCATAGAGATTTAAAACCAGATAACATTCTATTTTTTAAATAAAGTGACAAAATAGTTTTAAAATTAATAGATACTGGTTAGATAGATTAAATAGATGATAGAATATAATTTTTAACGGAGAATGCTGGAACTCTAAATTATTAAGCTCCAGAATATTTCTCATAAAAAGTTTAATACAATGAAAAGGTTGATGTTTGGTCTCTTGGTCTCATATTTTATTAAATGCTTACAAATCATGATTTAATTGTAAAGAAGAAGTAAATTTTAGATCAATAATATATTAACTAATAAATTGAATCTATCAAAAATTGTGATGAAATTATTCAAGAATTAATTCGTTCTATGCTTGATTCATCTAAAGATAAAAGATGGTCTGCTAAATAAGTTAAGTTTGAAATATAAAAAATTATTTAAAATATTGAATTAAAAGAAGATCATTAAATAGTTTAATAAAAAATTAAGGATTTATAAATTTAATGTGAAACTTTAGTTAATCTCAATTAGTAATTTAAAAATTAAATATAAAATTAAACTCGATTAAATGATGAATTAGAACAAAAATATATGTTATGTATTTAAAATTTTAATGAATAAAAAGTTGTTCAATAAAATTTAAAAAATGAAATCGAAAATGTTGAAAAAAAGAATACAAATTATAAATTATAAATTAGTTAAGTAGAATAATAATTATTGTAATTAATGGATAGGGATAAATAAAATTCTGAGATTATTATTTATTTAAAAGATAAAATTATAAGTTTAGAGCAAAATCTAATAAATAAAATTAATAACAATAAGAAAAATATTGGTTAATTGATACAACCTAATAATACTTTCTTTAAACATCAGAAAATATTGTTATTTGGGCTTCCAGGAGCCGGTAAAACATGGATTTTTAGTACATTATAAGGATTAATCCAAAAACCCATTGATAAGAGCACAACAAAGTTTCAAGAATTTTTTATTACTGATCATAATATTACAATTATTGATTCACCTGCCTTTTAAGATGAACAAGATCATGATATAAGTAATGAGACTTTTAAGAATTATAATTCTTATTTTTGTGAAAATTAAATAGATAATATAGTCTTAGTTGTTTAATATTAAAGATTTGATTTAATGAAATCCTAAATAAAGCATTGTCTAAAATATTTTAAAGACATTTCAGGTGTAATAGTTATAAATTTTCATGAGCCAATTCTTGAAAAAGAAGAAATACAGCTAAAGAGTTCGCTTTAATTTTGTAAGACCATTATATATTCAATTCATAAAAATATTACTAATTAAGAATTAATGGTAATCTTTTAAGAAATAAAAAAATCCTGTCATTAAACTAACAATGATTTCAAAAATATTTTTAGATAATTTTAAGATGACTGATAATCAAATAAATTGTATGTATAAAAGATAAATTTTATCATAAAAAATAAATCTCAATAAGCTAATTTTTATTATCATTGTTTTTATAAATCTTATTTTTCATGAAAATATTTAAGCCTCCAATTAGAATTCATTATTGGTTTCTAATATTTATGACTTATTAAAAAATATTTTAATCTAACAAAGAATAAAAATTTATTTTATTGAAACAATTGTTTTGAAATTCGTATTTAAAATCTATTTAAATTGTCAATTTTTATCTTGAGAAAAAAATTGAATTCTGTAAGTTTTATTTATGTTTCTTAACTGTTGATAGAAAATTAATTCATAGAAATTTAGTTAACTATTTTTAGTATAACTAAACTATTTTCGTCCTTATAATTCAAGTTATTGGAAAATTTAATTTTCACTTTTATGTTTCATAAATTTAGAAAATCCCTACTTAATATTCTAATATTGAAATGGATTTGTAAATATAGAGATAGCAAAACTTTTATTTAGCTTTTTATTGAAATCTTAGATCTCTTTTTTTAAAAAAAACTATTATAATTTTATTGAGAAATCAAGTTATGGAATTCTATATATTTTTTTTTTAATTCAATTCTTTTGATAGAATAATTTTTTTAGATCTTTCCTATCTGTTTTTATGACATATTATATCGCATTTCAAAAAAATCATGAACAATTTTAATTTTAATTATTATTTTGAACATTTCAAGTATGATTTAACTTAAGGATAAAGTTTAAAGAAAAGAAAGTATAAAATCTTGATGATAAATTATGAATTTTTTTATTATTCATGAATAGATAAAATTGAAATTTTTTCTAATTAGAATTGAATAATTAAATATAAACAAATTATTATTGTAAACACAATTTTATAAATAATGAATAAGGGTTGGGATGTTGATGAAGATTAATCTTTGGATCATTTTCTATCTCTTACTGAGAATTTAGTTATTAAGAATTAGAGTGTTGAAATACCTAGTATTTAAACAAAGATTTCCCCAAAATCTAAAATGCGATTTAGAACATCCTCCATGCCAAAAGTTGACGATTTCATTGAACCAAAGAAAGAAATTATATAACAAATTCAAGATATTTAAATAAAACAATAGCCAATAAAAACATAACAAAGACAGCAAATAAAATAATAAAGACCTATGGATTCTCGAATATCAATAAGATCAACATTATTTTAGAATCCAATAGAACCACCAATCAAATAGGGAAGAACTTTATAACCAAAATTTTTCAATCCTTTATTAAGAGAGTAATAACATAAACTAGGTCTATCTCGAAAACTTAAAAGTATGAACAACATCTTTAATGATGAACGTATAACTTATAAACGTGATTTCAGTTATTTAAAACAATAGAGATCCAATATAGTATATGTAGCTCTCTCGAAATGATTAATAATTGTATATTATATCAGCTTTTTAATGATTAATTCATATTAAAAAGTTTGATAAATAATAATGCTAAGTTTAATTTATTATTATGTAAGTTCTATTGTAAGTGTAATAAATTTTAACATATGAAAAAATATATATTATGTCATTTTTAAAATTATTATTTACTGTTTGTAAAGTTAAACTCAATTATAAAGATAATTGCTGATCTTATCGCATATAACATAATAATTTATAAATTTAATCTTGTCTTAGTCTAAAGTGAACTAATATTAAGAATATTTAATATTTATAGAAACAAAAATAATAATAAACTTGGGCTAATGATGGGGTTTGAGTTTTAGAATTTAAAATATAATTAAAATTAATATGAGTAAATAACCTGAGTATATACTTGACTCATATAAAGTGCCTTATTATTTATAAGATTCATGCTTAAATGAATTTATGTATTACCAATAATGTTAAAGACATAATCCTCTATTTTTTGAAAATAAATTAATTCATTCTTTACCTTGCCTTAAGTAATGGTGCTAAAAATAGTAAATATTTGTGTGAGGGTAAATTTAATTTGAATAGTTTAAGAATAGAGAGAGAGAATTATTTGAAAAAATGAGAAAGATTTATGTAGAAAGTGTAAGAAAAGGAGAAGAAAAATGAATTATTGTATATCATTATACAAAAAAAATAAAAATTTCGTCAGTTACAGGATTTGTGTGCGGGTAAACCCAGCGGATTTCTAATCAGCCTCCATAACCACTCGCACAAACTGACAACAACTAATCAAATATCTACAAAAAAAAATACTTATATTTTACATACTAAAAACCAAAGTTTTCAAATTAATAGCCATATTGCGAAAAAAAAGAGATAAATATATTGTATAAGAATTATACTAATTTTATAAATAATTTAGATCTAATTAAAATAGAATTTGAGAAATATCAAATTGGTTTTTCATATATATTTCTTTTATTCTCCTCTATTCAAATAAGACAAGAGGGTTTTTTTGAAAATAAATCTTAAGTTATTATAAATCCTTAAGAATTGAATAAATTGAATGCTGTCTTGATTATATTGATTTCAATAGATTAAGTAAATTAAGTGACAAGTGAAATATAATATAATAATTAAGTTGATTATGCAATAAAGATATATTGGTGATTAAAAATATTAATAATAATTATATGCCTTAAAACATTTATGATTTACAATTAAAACAATAAGATAGACTGTTAGCTAAATTTCAAGAGTTATTTAGTAAAACAAACTAATGTAAATTTTATAACTAAATGGGAAGCTGTTTTGGTAGCAATTTTTTTCTTTTTGAATCTCTATGGTTTACTAAAATAATACCACATTTGACTTTAGTTATAATTGATGCGATAAAGATTTGAAATGCTAATTAAATCAATAATTATAAGTATTTTTGATGCTTTTTCTGAATATTTAAAGCCAGTATATTTAAATTTTATAATAGTGATAATTTCAAAAATACTTGTTTAGATTAAATTAATTTAAATATTAAATATTGGTAACAATAACAGTAAGAGGAAGAGTAGAATGAGAAATAAGCTTAATGTTCATTTTTCATTGATACAAATTACATTCATCTACCTTAATAAAATACCAATAATATGATAAATTTGAATTGGTGACTAATTTATATTTTTTTTTAATCAGATAATAAAATTAATAAATATATATTATAATAATTAACACAAGATATTAAGATACAAATAATGTAATAAATGAAATTTATTCTTAATCATTCTTCATCAAAATCATTATCAACATCATCTGGTACATTTTCTGGGATTTTTGGTAAGGGATGTTCTTCATCATACTTAAGCTCCCATTCTTCTCTATTAGGTGGTTCTTAATCTTCTTATTATTAGATAGAACTCTTATATTCTTCAAATTTTAATTCTTTTTCCTAAGAATCAAATGATTAAATGAATTACTTCTTTAATTTTAGCAACTTATTCAGTTGTTTCTTGTATCAATTTTCTGAGATTAGCAATTTTTTCTCTTCTTATTTCAACATCTAAATTTCTTAATTTGATGATATATTGCATCCACTTTAAGATTTTAGCATAGCAAACATTATATTCTTCAACTTATTCAACAGTGACTTTTGCAATTCTTTTTTATATTCTATTTAATTTAGCATGTTTTGGAACTTCTTCAGTTTTAGCTCCTTTGTATTCATAATCAAGTATTTTTTAAATTAAGTCCTCACATATATAATGTTTAACACCATTCCAATCTAATTGATTAGTTCCTTTTTCTAATAAATTTTCTTTATTATAATTTAGAAACAGCATCAATGCTAAGAGTAATCCAGGATATTTAAGAACTCTAACTTATTTTAATGAAAACAATTCTTATTATAATTATTAGATTTATTAAGCAACAGTATTAGCTCTAATGGATAATAATGCAAATTAATGTTCTTTTTCTTTTTCTTTTAAATCATCATATTATGATTATTATGATTCAACAGCTTATTCTTCTTAAATAGTTAATGCTTCTGATCTATCTTTAAGACCTTATTCTTAATAAGTAATCATATGATCAATATCATCTGATAATAATTTGCATTCCATTTGATTCCAACTTTATGCAAATAAATTAATATAATCTTCAAAATATTTTCTATCTTTTTCACTTATTCCAACATCTTTCCCTAGAGTATCAAAACAAATAACAAATTATCTTTTTTAAGATTGAAAAGGTGCTTCACTTTCATCTTGCCAATTGGCTAAATATTAATCAAATTCTTCTTAGATTGGAGTTGGATCTTATTCTGTATCAGTAGCTTCTTTAATTCTTGCATTAAATTCATTAATTTTATTTTCTTTTTCTAATTTCTTTTCTACGTCTGCTTTTTTAAATCTCAATCTTTCTTCAATTCCAGCATCTAATGAAGCAGGGAATAAACAAGATTAATAAATAAGTGGAATAGCTAAGAAAGCACCTAATTTTTTCCATTTAAAATAAACAAGCTTTTATTCTTTAGTAACATCTGGTATATAAATTATAGGTGATTATGGTAATTGACCTTCTTCTGGAGGTGGAATATCTTTAAATACTTCACCTGTTACTCCTATATCATTTAATGGAAGTGTTTGACCTATCATAAAATTATGATCATCATTAGCACCAATATATTTTATTAATTTTGGTTATTCTGTATCAAGATGTGCATTTTCATCGTCATCATTTTCATTTATTTATTTATTTGGAAAATCAACATATCCTACATATACTCCTGTAAGACCCTTTCTTTAAAGATGATTACAAAAATCTTTCACTAATAATTTTTAATGAAATTCATGAGTTTTTATTACATTTTAAAATTCCATTTCTCTTAGATTCTCTTCATCTTGTAACTGTTTCTCTCTTCTATCTCTCTCCTCTTAAACTTCTTATTCTTTCTTCTATTACTCTCTAAAGTATTTCTATTCATTACATTAATGCTTCCTTATTACTCAAATGCTCTTGCATTGAACCTCTATTTCCCTCTGTTCGATTATGATTCAATAACCACTTTGCAAAATACTCTATTGGGAATTCTGGTTTCACTCGATACAACTCTGCCAAACCTTTTGTAATCACTTTCCCGATTCGTTCAGACTTTAAATATGCCATATCTATTTTATCTGTTTCAGGTATCAAGTTCATTAAATAATATAATAATTCAAACGAAACATCCATAAATCCATTTCCCTTATAGTATTACTTTCTCCTCTTAATACAACGTACCTACTCCATGAAATCCATCCTAAGCAAATCCTCCTACAAACTTTAATTCTTCTCCTCCACAGTTAAAAATCATTACACCTTGACCATGAAATTATCCATTTCGAAATTCTCCTTCATAGGAAGTAAATTAATGTTAAACTAATTTAAACTATTTAAAATTTAATAATTTGTATGAATCTTCTTAATAATCCGAGTTAACAAACCTTCCTCTACCTGAAAATTAATCATTTAACCATTAACCCTAATAAACAATATCCAAATTAAAATCTTTTAAAGTTCCATTACCATGCCTCATCCCATTTAGCCAGTCACCCTCATAAACAAAACCATTTTCATATACTTTTCTTCCTCTTCCATTCTAAATATCTTCTCTAATTGTTATGTTTGATTTCTTGAATTTTCCAATAGATGGAGTTTTACTTGAAGTTCTATGATGATTATTCATCTTATATTGAATTCTTGAACTATTAATAGGAGAATGTGTAGTCTGAATTGTATTTTTAACAGAGCTTACATAAGATTGCAATGTATGTTAACTAATACAATTTGATTACTTATTAGATTTTGTTGGCCCGCTTAAGTAGTATGAAATTGATTCTACTGAATCTGTTTCTGTTTTTTTCAGTTGAGATCTTAATTAGACATTTTTTTCCATTATATTAGCAATTTTTTATTCTAAAAAACTAAGTTTACTTATAGTTTCATCAAGTAGATCATCTTATTTACTTTTCTTTCTTTTAAAATACGTTATTTATGAAGTTGGTGACTTTGGCATAGTTGTAGAAGGCATAACAAAATTTATTTTATTATTGATATTTCTAAATGGACTTTAGGATGTACTAGGTGAATGAACTCTCAAAAGTCGAGTAGTTTATAATCTGCTAGGGGTTTTACTATTAATTTCTAATTAATTTGGTCTTCTGTTTTCTTTTTAATAATGGTACATGTATCAGTTAATTTTTATATATAATAAATATTACCTATAAAAAGTAAAATATTTAATAAAAAAATGAATAATAAATTAATCAATTTTTGAGTCTAAGCATCATATGTCTTTTAACTGAGTAAAATGATGGAGGTACATTAGGTTTAGGAGGTCTCGTTGATTTTTAAGTTTCTAAGAAACTATTTATGTTTTTAGTTAAATCTGCTTATAATACAGGTTCTTCTGATTTTTTGGGAGCTAAGAAATTTTATTGTTTAACTTTTAATCCAAGTTGTTCCAAATTTGATTAAGTATTTACTTTATTTTTGATATTGATTCCCATTTACTATAATAATGGAGGTGTATTCAAATGAGATTTAGATTATAATTTTTTTTAATCCTTGATTTACTTATTAATAGTAATATTGCTTCTTAATCTAGTATGTTATTTAAATGCATTATAATTAGATGCATTAAAATTTTAAACATGAGATTTTATATCTTCTTCTGTAACTTCTAAATGGGGAGTGGAGGGTCTTTAAAATGTAGATTACATTAATTATTAGAATGGTTGAAATTATATAGGATTATAATCTTCTTGAAATAAAAGAGTAGCTGAATTTTAACCTGAGACATAGTTAGAAATATGATTAGTAATTTTAGTTGATTTTTGAGATTAAGAATTAGATGAAACTTTTTTAATAATAGAGTTTTAAATAGATCTAGAAGGATTATTAAATTTCTTTTCACTTTTTTGTATGCTTAACATAATTGATTATTAAGAAGATTGTTATGACTATAATCTAGGACTAAATCTTTATTCTAATTTAGATTTTTATGTAGGTTACATAATAGAAATGATTGGCTTATCTTATAACTTAGATTTCGAAAGTCCTCCATCCATTAATAATTATTATTTAATGTCTTACAAATATGTTTCACTTCCATCATCATCAGATGAATCTGATTCTCCTTCTTCTGATATTGATTAATTCATTTTACCAGCATCTTATTTTATTTCATCAAAAAGATTAGCAAATTTTGTATTTTAAAAATATTATTGCCATTAATCTTCTTAATGACCTGTAAAACTTCTTTTTTTATTAAACATTTAATTCTTCATTTATCTATTAGATCTTTTAGTTTCATCATTTTTTTGATTATAAATTAGATCCATTTCACTTTACATTTCAACTAAATCAATTAAAGCTTCTCCTATAATCCATCCCATTTAAATCCAATGTTTACATGTAAATTCAAATGTCTATGTTGAATTGTAATAACTGCCATTTGATGATTCTATTGTAAAACAATTTACAATATCATATAAATCTATAAATACACCTCTTGCTGTTGATTTCTTTTATTCACTTATTCTAAATATTGAAGAATAATATCGAAACATATCAGTCTTCTATCCAAGTAATTTACCTAAAATTCTACACTTATAGTAATTATAATTCCATAACGAATATTCTGGACCATAAAGAAATACATTCTTTTTTACTTATATATTTGTTATTCTTACCAGAATGACCATGCAAATCTATGAATCCAATCAAATTATTTCCATATATATTATATTATTCTTTCACTAATTTTTTCATTGCTGTCACTGTAGGAAATAATAAATGATCTGTTAACTTAAATTTCCTATTCAAATCTTTACCCGCTAAACCTGTTCTATAATTTCCTAATATTACACCATCAGGATTCATCATAGGTACAACCTTTATTACACATCTATATCATTATTTATAATTAATACTTCGAAATCAGATTCAATCCTTATTGACTAGATAAGAATTCTAATAATCCTTACATTACCCAAGAACCATTCGATTCACCTGGATGAATTCGAGCTTAAATTATCATACATTTTTTATTTTAACAATCTCCATTGCTAAATGTATAAAGTGGTAATTGTATTCCACTTAAAGATTCACAAAATACTGTTTTCTCAACATGATTACAATTGTTTTACATGTTCTAACAAAATTCAAGCATTTATGTATATGTATATGGAACACAATATGCGATTTTAATAACTTCATTATCTCCATAACAAGTTAATGAAAATGACAAAGAATTATAATGTTAATGATAATGAGTTTTGTATTTTATTTACTCGCCTCCTTATAACCATTCTGGATGAGTTGATCTCCAAATATATGGTTTCATTCCTCGTTCATATAAGGTACGAGATTTACGAAAGTTACAAATATTTAATTGTATGACTTCATTATATTTCATCCCTGTGATTTGAAAGTTGTACCATGAGGTATGACTTTTAGTATTTGAATCAACTCTCATATATAGATCATATTAATAATTAGAAATCTTGAGTACAAGATCTAGGTTACCACTTTCAAAAGTCGAATTAAATTGAATTCTGCTTTATAGATTAGGATTCATTCCAAGAAATGGTAATTGATTTTTTCTTGCGAGTATTTTAATTTATTTGAATGGATATGTAGAATCATTAGAATATTATTTATGTAATTATCCAGTATCTTATGGTCTAAATCCGAGATAGAGTAATTGATTATTAAATAAGGATTGATTAATGATGGAATCATTTAAGTGATTGTTAAAATTGAGTGTAAGTGATTTAGAATAATCAAATTTTGGTATCCATCCAAGAAGCATATCATTTTCTAGACTGAAACTATGATCAGTAAGTGTAATAGCCTTAGGTAATTAATTAAAGAATGGTTGAGTGTTATAATCAACATTGTAATTTTACATATTATATAATAATAATAATATGGGGAACTGTCAAAATTGTTTGAATCATGAAGCAGAGTAGATAGAGATAGTAGTAAATAATCCAACAGTTGAAGATATGCCAATAATGCAGGAATAATAACCATTATTGGTGTTAGATGTAAAAACCTGGTAAAAGGAGACATATAGTCTTTATGATTACGAAAACAATGCATTCATAAATTGTCAATAAATATCAATTAATGGAAATAGCTATTTAACATGTAAAGCTAACAAAGTTGTATTTAATGAAGGATCTTATTCAACAAATAAGTATAAATTAGAATCATAATTATTATTTTAGTGAGAATAATGACTAAGCGCTTCTTTTAAATTTAGAATTTGACAACGATAGATTTTAATTACTTAATTTACGTTTTAATAGACGTATGTAAACTAAAGAATTAATGGATGAATATTAAAAAGAAGTAAAATATTATACATATTATTATTCTACAGGATGGAGATAATAAACTCTTATCTGAAAATTAGACTATACATGCTGATTTTTAAATGAGTTTTAATTTTTAGAAGTTGCGTACTAACACTAATAGATAATTCGTTTGTGAAATGCCAAAATCTTCTAAAATTTGGTTAGTTACTAGATCTATCTAAAATAATAGTTCTTATGAAGGAATTATTCTAAAAGTAGGAGATGTAATCAAATTAGGAAGAGTTAAACTTATTATTTAAGCTATTTAATTACATTCCTAAATTGATTAAGATAATCTCGATGATCTATCTATGTGTTCAGTAGAAGATAAAAATGAGGATACTAAATAATGTAGAGTATGTCTCTCAACTGGAGAAACATATACTAATCCACTTATTGATCCATGTAAATGTTGTGGAGGTACTAAATATATACATATCAAATGTTTATTAAAATGGTATTTATTTATTTTAGTTATTCTTTAGGATTTAATAAAGTTCTCATTTTAATAGCAATGCTTATTGTACTAGACTCATTTGGAAATCATTAGAATGTGAAATTTGTAAATATTAATTTCCTCCTGTTTTTGAAAGAGATGGCAGAACTTTTAATCTTATTGAACTTAGTAAGCCTAAAGAACCATTTGTTATGATGGAATTTCTATAAAAAAAATAACATGATAATCCATCTCATAATAATGACAGAAATGGAGTTTTTATTATTAATTTTGCTACCAAAAAAGAATTGAGAATTGGTAGAAATCATGAAGTTGAAATTAGTATTGCTGATATAAGTGTGAGTAGAGAACATGCTCTACTTAAATTAATTGGAGATAAAATTGTTTTATCTGATAAAAAATCTAAATTTGGAACTCTTGTTTTATTACAGAATAATATTACTCTCTCCCCATAATTATCAGGTTTAGAGATATAAATTAAAAGAACACTTATTAAAATTAATAATAACTAAAGTACTTAACTCATCTAAAAATCAGTTGACTTTGAATAACTTTTAGGAAGAATCGATTGATTTAATTGTGTTATTTCATTGTTATAATATAAATAGTTACAAATAATCAAATATTGATTGATTTTTTAAATTATTCTTTGTTCTTTAAAAAATATTCAATTCTAAAATATATTATAATATATTACGTTTAATTGCATATTGGGCATCTTATTAATTTTGTGTTTATTCTAATCCAATCTTCAAAACATAATAAATGAAAAGTATGGCCACAGAATATCTATACTGTTTCCTATTTCATTTCATATTTTTCAATACAAAAAGGGCATTTATCATCATCAAATCTCAAAATCTAATTTGAAAAGTTTTGCTTTGTTAGCACCTTTTCTTTTATCATATTCTCCATTGTTTTGAATAGACTGTCCTTATCCAAACTTTGTTATACATTTGGAAGTGTTAAAGATATTAAATAATTCATCCTCTTATTAGCTATATAGATGATTATTGCGAAAAGAATAAAGACTAAAATTAACCCACTTATTAATTTCCATAATTGCCAATAATTAAACTCTTATTATGGATCTTATTATTTAAATGTAATCGTGAGATCATTCACTATGATATCTTCTAAAAATTCCAAAGTTACTCTAAAGTATATACTTTTAAATATTAAATTTGATTTAAAATCATTAATTATTATTTAATGACACAATTATTCAAAATCATACCCTAAACATATATATTGTTGAATGAAATTCTTATTTCTTTAATTCTCTATTAATAAACTAAAGAGCATATCAAATTCTTATAAAATGGTAGCATCATAAAATAATGTAAATACTGTTCCTTAAGAAATATTTCCTTAGTATGTCTAATTAAACTCAATTTCATAACCACACTTGATTATCTTATTAACATACCATTTAGAACTCTCCTGAATTTAATTCAAACTCAAACTCTCATAATTCTATACAGATTAACATTATTGATTAATCCATTCGCATCCAGTTTATTTCATACATGAATAACAACTATTAAATGTGTTGCAACCATTTACAAAATGATTATACAAGGTTTCAAATATACATTCAGATTTATAAGGTACTAAAGAAATATTCAAAGATTCATATATTATATTACAAGGCATTAAAGAATCTTAATATTATTTATCTAATTTTAATTAAGAATAGAAATTTGAATTAAATTTCTATTAATAATGAATAGATTATAAATTTATTTAAGGTAATTCTTCTATATTAAATAAATAGGGTTAATACATATTCATCTTAATATAATCAATATTAAATTATTTAATTTCAAAATTATCATAGATTAATAATAATTGATTTTTATCATTATGAAATGCAATATTTGAATATGAAGCATTAAACTACTAAATCTATGAAACTACTTTTTATTAGTATAAGTTCTGAATTTCTTCAATAATGAATAATTTTATTTCATTGTTATTTTGTTACAATATATAATTAGAATCTATTCCATTAAAATCTTTGAGCATTTAAAGTGGTTGGGAATCAAATCTATATATTTCTTAAATTTCATATAAAATGTCTCCTATGCCATAAAGTACTTAGAATTGCTGATAAGTAATAATGATATAACCTGATCTATAGATTTTCCATTTCAATGGTATATTATTTTCAGATAAATTATATGTAGAAACATCTCTAAATTACAAATCAAATAAAGAGTATTCAATTAACTAGAACTTATTCGACTTCAAAATGATTAGCAATACAGAATTTCTAATTTTATTGTAATATTGTGAGAATCCTAAAATCGTGCAATTATCGTCTGAATTAAATTGATATTGAATGCTGCTTAAATAATTTACATTTCCAGGGAATATTTGATGTATTTCTATCAGATATTTATCCTCTAATTTTTTTAATAGAGAAATCGTCATATTCGTCGAGTCTACTTAGGTGAGTTCATAAAACATAAGATTATGCACTTGCTTAACAAAATCGAAGTGTTCAGGAGATAAAATTCTTCTTATTTCTAATACCTACTATCCATCAGCAGTGATGAGGTCACAAATTAAGTAATTGCTAAACTAAGTTTCTCCAATTCTTTCAAAAGTATATATACCTATCTTTTTTGTAAAATATTATATTACCTAATTTTGAGTAAGTTCTACTTATGGAACAAATACATTATGCTAAATGCATTGAAATAAAACATAATTAGAACTTGAACCAGAGTAAGTGCATCCTTTAAAGATTTGGGTTTCTACACTTCCGTTTGATCTTAAGTATAGCGAAGAACCATACACAATCTCAAGAAATAGCATATAGAAATACATTTTAAAAATAAATATTCTATGCTTGAGGTAATTTTAGAACTTAAAAATAAACTTAATAATTTAGTATATAAATTCCATATGATCTTTCATTAATTAATCATGATGCATCATCATAATAATTGTAAATTAATGAATGATAATAGAATTTATTAATGTAAATAAAATTGATCATTAACGAACAGTCATTTATTATTTCCACTATTTAAACTATGCTATAGGTGATTAATCTTCTTCATCAGAAGATTCTCTAAATTTAATTCCTTTATTAATCATATCTAAACATGAAATTGATCTATCTTTATTTCCAAAAGAATCGAGAGCATATGTATCCTTATTTGGAGGATTACTTTTTTTTACTTTTTATTAGAATTATGCTTTATAAGATGCATTTTATTGAGACTATTATTTTAATTAATTTATGCATTAATTTGATTTCATATCTCTTTTTTCATGATTTTCTTTATTTTATTAAATAGTATCTTTGCTTTTATTTAATTATCGACTTTATTTGCTAAGTCTTTCTCTGTCTTCACACAAAGATTAATCAGTAAATGCACTCTAACAAGATATATTAAATTAAGGTAACATATAATCCTAAGAATATGTAAGATCTTATTTTTATTATATTTCTTAAGTTAATTATTTTACTTATTATTATAATTCTTAATTTTATTATCTTAAACTTTATTTTTCTTATTTAAATTTTGTAATTTATTTATGTATTTCAGTTAAATGATTTTATAATTCTTCAATAAAATTTTGATTCTCACTTAATTAATTCATCAAATTTTATATCTCTTTTTAATGTTGTCCTTCAAGTTCTTTTTCTTTGAAATCATATTATTCTTCAAAATACTTCTACATTTCCTCTATTACAACTTATTCATTATTTGTTTATAATTATTGCTCTAATATAGTTATTTATTAATTTTATTAAACTAATTTCTTTTCCAATTCATTAAATTTAACCATTAATTCTTAACTCTCTTTTTCTCTCTGCATAATTATCTTATCTTTTTCTTATATTTACTCTTCATAACCTTATTTTATCGTCTCTATTTACCCTTAATTCTCTTCTAATTATAATTCCAATTATTCAATCTAATTTTTCTATTAATTTAATATATTGGTCATTTGATTATTTTAAGTATTTAAAATATTTAATTATTTCTAAAATTCATTTCTAATACTATAATATTATTTAAATACTTTTATGCATTTAAACATTTCTCGATTGTACATTTTTCTCTTGATGATAGGTTATTTGCTTCTGCAATCAGTATTTCATATTTTTCAGCTATCTATACTTTTTCTCTTTCTAATTAATCCACTGAATATTTCATCTTTTCTATTTAAGATATTCTTTCTTATAAAATCTATTTGTAAGGTTATAAATACTTAATTCAACTTTGAATTCTCTACTAAAATTAAATTTATTTTTTATTCATATTCTGTTATTCTTTTTTCCAATAACTTTTCTTTTTCCATTCTTCTTGAAGATTCTAATTAATCGTCTTTATGTAATAATTTATTCTTTAGAAATATAATAAGTATATACTTCAATTTCTAATTGTCTTATTAATTTATTCAAATTCATTATTTCATTATCCTTTTTATTAAGAATTTATGCAAATTTATCTTATTATTCTAAAAATTAAGAGGATTTATCGATATCAGATATCCTTTTATTTTTCTCAATCTCATCCATTAACATTCTTTTCAATTCAATATTTTCTGCCAATTATTCTTCTAATTAAGTTCTGTAATCTTCAATCTCATATTTGTTATCTCTATCACATGCAAATGAAACAACTGAGGTTTTTAAAGATGCCTCTGATCTATTATTTATGTCTAATGTTTTCAAGACCTCTCTATTTGATTATTAAAATTGTTTTTCACCATTATCAATATAGTATTTGTTCATGATGTTCTTTTAACGAATAAATATTTAATATTAAGCTGTATAAAAATTTAATTAATATGTTATTAAATAAAAAGTCGATAGGTTTTTCCATAAATTTATGATTTCAACCTTAGACTATAATTTCTAATAATGGTCTCATCATCATATTTTTTAATAAACAATCTATTAATAATTCTACTGAATCCATCATTAATTTAAATTATGCTATCATTAATAACATAAAATGCCTTTCATTTAAATAAATCTATTTTATAATTCATAAAATATGCTTTCATATTGCATGATTTTATAGACTAGACTATTTTTATCACTTTCATTTTTATTTATTCAAAATTTATAAAATTCAACCAAAGCTAAAATGGCCATATATTAAACAAAAGATTACCTTATAACTTATTTTGTTATCTTCTGTTAAATATAATAAAACCACAAATTGGATTTTTTTTAAATAACTTTAAATTTTATCTTACATAATTCTATCTTACCTTATTACTGTGATCAAGCAAAATTCTATAAAAGTGTAATTAGGGATTTCAAATGACTCTATATTTTAGATTTAACTTTTTTTTTTAATTATTTGAACCCAAAACTTACTAATCCATTTTTAACTTGAACCATAAAAAAAATTAGAAATAAATTGAAGATATTTTAAATATAAAATAAAATGGTGTTTTTAAAATCATTGACATATTTTTTTCATAAAAATTATTTACTATTCCACAATTTACTCAACTAGCTTATATTCTTTTTATTTTTCCAAATTTAGCTCCTATTAAAGAGCCTTTACATCCATAGCTTGTTAAACATGAATTTATGAATTAATCTTTTAGATTTGAATATTTTATATGAAAAGTTAGAGTTAGTTGTATAGCTTCTCCTTGTTTTCCTTAGTCTTTGAAATTTGCTCACATTTAATCCCTTTTTAAATTTAAACAATCTGTCTAAGTAAGTCAATTTGACCATCTTAATCTAACTGCTATTTACTATCAATTACCTTAATAAGATTGCTGGATTACACCAAGTCTTCTAAATTTATTTAGAATTGCTTTTGCTGTTGAAAAATTAATCTTACACATTTAAGCAGAAGCCCTTATAGTTTTTTTATCACATAAAACAAGTTTGAGAAATTTTATTTTAGATGCAATTTTTTCTTATTTGTTTTAGATGTTAGTTTTTATTTTATATGTCTCAATTTATTGATTCATTGCTATTTAATAAATATTAATTAGTATTCAAGAAAGAAATCCACTTATATAGATTTAATTAGAAATTATTCAAATAATCAAAATGAATCTTTATTATATTA